GAGTGCAGTGGCACAATCTGGGCTCACTGGAACCTCTGCCTCCCGGGTTCAAGAGATTGTCCTGCGTCAGCCTCCTGAGTAGCTGGGATTATAGCCGTGCCGCCACACCGAGCTAATTTTTGTAGTTTTAGTAGAGACAGGGTTTTGCCATGTCAGCCAGTCTGGTCTCAAACTCCTGACCTCAGGTGATCTGCCCACCTTGGCCTCCCAAAGTGCTGGAATTACCAGCATAAGACCTTGTGCCCAGCCTAGAAGATTTCTTTTCACCATTGTCCTTCAGGGATGGCCCAGACAGTGGATGTGATGCTGTAGACGTCCACTTCTGAGTGTGACCTGTCCATGGTGCAGAACCATCTCTAAACCAGGCCCAAGTGTTCTCTTCTTCTGGCAACTGGCCATAGGGAATTCCGTATGAGGCCGTAAGTGCAGCCTGGGCAAAAGAAAGTAATGTCACAGGAATGGGGATCATGGGCACTTGGGCCAGTTCTTCATGTAACTTTCTTGCACCGTCAGGGCCTACTTAAGCCCAATTTTGTATATATGCCAATTCCATTTGAAGATGGAAATGGAAATTTTAGGCTGCACTTGCCCAGATGTATGGCTTGGTAGGCAAATTAACACTCAGTTCAAGATGGACAGTCAGGTCAGAGTAATTTGCTGGCCTATGGATAACCATTCAGTCTGCACTAAGGCCTAGAAACAAGCCAAGAGCTGTTTCTCAAAAGGAGAGTAGTTATCTGCAGAGCATGGCAAGTCTTTGCTCAAAAACCTAAGGGCCTGTGCTGTGGTTGACCTAGAGGGGGCTACCAAAGGTTCAAAATAGGATTACTATCTGCCACCAATACTTCAAGCACCATTGGGTCTGCATATGGCCCAAGTGACGGAAAAATGTCTACAGCAGCCTGGACCTGTTGCAGAGCCTTCTCTTGTTCTGAGCACCACTCAAAACTAGCACATTTTCAGGTCACATGATAAATAGGCCAGAGTAACACACCCAAATGAGAGCTATGCTGCCATGAAAATCAAAAAGAGCACACTAGGCATTGTATCATTTTCTTGGTTGTAGGGAGTGGGGGTGGCAGATATAACAATTTATCTTTTATCTTAGAATATCTTAGAATAGAAGGAATACTTTGTGCCCCATAGCATTCATCAACTAGGAATTTGTTTCACTGAGGTAAAAGGCCCTGGAAATGTTGTCAGATTTGTTTCCCACCCTCTGACATGCAAATGCCTTCCCGGTAAGTCTAGAGTAGTTGCTACTTGTTGCTCATGAGGTTCACTCAGCATAATGCCATCAATGTAATGGATCATCTTTTGTGACATTTTGTGGAAGGGAACTGCGATCAGTATCCCTGCAGGCCAGATATGGTGGCTCATGCCTGTAATCCTAGCACTTTGGGAGGCCAAGGTGGATTGGTCACTTGAGGCCAGGAGTTAAAGATCAGCTTGGCCAACATGGCGAAACCCCATCTCTGCTAAAAATACAAAAATTAGCCAGATGTGGTATGCATGGGTAATCCCAGCTATTCAGGAGGCTGAGACATGGGAATCGCTTGAACCCAGGAGGCGGAGGTTGCAGCAGTGAGATGAGATCGTGCTGTACTCCTGCACTTCAGCCTGGGCAACAGAGTGAGACTCTGTCTCCAGAAAAAAAAAAAAGATTCCTGCAAATTAAATTATGACATAGGGCTGCAAGTTGATGCATCCCTGAAATACGATACTGACGGTATATTGCTGACCTTGCCAACTGAAAGCAAACTCCTTCTGAAAGTCTTTACTGACAAGTATGAAGAACAAAGCATTTGCCAGTTCAATATCTGTATACCAGGTACCAGGATGTAGCAATTGGCCCAAGCAATGAAACCATATCGGGTACAGCAATTGCAACTGGAATTACCACCTGGTTAGGCTTATGATAATCCGCTGTCATTCACCAAGATCCATCTGTCTTTGGCACAGGCCAAATAGGCAAGTTCAATGGGCATGTAGTGGGAATCACCACAGATGCATCTTGGATGGTGGTAATGGTCTCTGCAATCCCTCTAGGAATGTGGTATTGCTTTTGTTTTTTTATGCTTTACAGGCAGAGTATCACTTTGTCACCCAGGCTGAAGTGCAGTGGCACAATCATAGCCCACTGTAGCTTAAACTCCTGGGCTTAAGCGATCCTCCTGCCTCAGCTTCTTGAGCAGCTAAGACTACAGGCATGTACCATCATCACACCTGGATAATTTTGTATGTGTGTGTACACATGGAGTCTCACTATGTTGCCCAGGCTGATTTTAAACCCTTGGCCTCAAGCAATCCTCTTGCCTTGACCTCCCAATGTGTTGGGATTAGAGACATGAACCACCATGCCCATCTGGTATTGCTTTTGATTTACTATGTTTTTAAGTAAATGCAAGTCTGATGGCTTCCACCTGGTCTTTTCCACCTTAATAGTCTTCAGTGCACATGTCCGGGGATGAAGGTGGGGATTGTGCCAGCTGCTGAGTATGTCTATTCCAATTATACGTACTAAAATGGGGAAATCAGACAGGGTGGGTGTGGGGACCCACTCGCCCCTTTCTAGATGGGCTCGAGCTTAGTGTGAATAATATCAGCATAATTTCAATAGCATGCAAACACTGTGCTCCTGTACCTCTCCATCTTTCCTCCTTCATCTTGTTGTCCTAGATCATATCCTTGTACATTCTGTGCTCATTAACATCAATTTGTAATTACCATTTTCTGCATTTGCTCTTTAAAGCATATAAGTAAACAAGATGATTTACAAACCAAAAGCAGCATAATACTGTGCTATAGACTGAATTATGTCTCCCACAATCATATGTTGAAGTCTTGCCATCCCATGCAATAGTATTTGGAGATGGTGCCTTTGGGAAGTAATTTGGTTTAGGTGAGGTCATGAGGGTGGGGCCCTCATAATGGGGTTAGTGCCTTTTTAAGAAAAGATGCTGGACAACTTTCTCTCCCTCTCTCCCTCTGTCTCTCTCTCTCTCCTTGTGTGCACAAGGAAGAGGTTACGTGAATGCACCGCAAGATGGTGGCCATCTCCAGAACTATGAGAAATAAGTGTCTATTGTTTAAGCCACTTGGCCTATGGTATTTTATTATAGCAGCCTGAGTGGCTGCATACTGGCATTTATATTTATTTACCTATGTAGTTACCTTTTCCAGTGTTCTTTATCTCTTCATATGCCTTCGAGCTATTACCTAATGTCATTTCATTTCTACCTAAAGGATTCCTTTTAGCGTTTCACAGGGCAGATCTACTGGTAATGTGCTCCATTATCTTTTGTTTATCTAAGAATGTCTCAATTTCTTCTTCATTCTTGGATGGCAGTATTGCTGGATATCAAATTCTTGGTTGCAGGATTTTGTGTTTGTGTTTTTGTTTATTGGCTCTTTAAATATGTTACCCACTCCCTTCTGGCCTCTGTGGTTCCAGGTGAAAAATTAGCCGATAACCTTATAGAGATTCCCTTGTACATACTGAGTGGGCTACTTGCTGCTTTCAAGATTTTCTGTTTGTGTTGGCTTTTGTCCATTTGACTATAATGTGTCTCAGTGTAGTTCTCTTTTAACTTATTCCACTTGGAGATAATTGAGCTTCTTGGATGAGTAGACAAATGTTTTTTGAAAGTCTTGCACCTCTTTGTTAAATTTATTCCTAAATGTTTTATTCATTTTTATGTCATTGTCAATGAAATTGTTTTCTTAATTTCTTGCTTGGATTGTTCTTTGCTACTGCAAAACTTTTACATTGAAAACTATCAAACGTTGCTGTAAGAACTTAAAGAAAACCAAAATAAACAGTAAGCTATTCCATGTTCATAGATCAAAATAGCGTTACATTACCAATGCCATGTACAGATTCGATGCAATCCCTATTAAAACTCCAGTGGTGTTATTTTAAAAATGGAAGAACTTATATTCAAAGTCATATGGAATTAAAAAGGACCCAGTGACCAAAAACAATCTTGTAAAAGAAAAGCAAAGTTGGGGGAACTCACACTTTCCAATTTTGAAACACATCTTCATTCCAGGGTAGCTTTAGTGCCCCTTTTGGATCACTGTTTGACCCTATAGAGATAGGACCCTTTTTCTTCCCATTTTCTTCCCATGGCTGATGATGTGAGCTTTAATTTTGAAGGGTTTCCTCATTGTTGTATGACTTCTGCTCCTGGTTGTATCTTCCACTGGTGGGGAGCTCATTCAGAACAGCTATTAGGACATTCTTCTGTGCATTTCCAAGGTCTAAGATGGCACTGTCCAATATAATAGTCCCTAGGCCCATGCGATTGCTAATCACTTGAAATATGCTACTGCAAATTGAGATGTGCCATCAGTTGAAATATACGCAGGATTTGAAGACATACTATGAAAACATGCTGTCAAATATCTCAATGTTTTACATGGATTACATATTTAAGTGATATTATCTGGAGTACATTAATTAAAATGCATTATTAAAATTAATTTCACCCCTTCTCACTTTCTTTTAATGTGGCGAGTGTAAATTTAAATTTCATATGTGTGCTGGGCACAGTGGCTCACACCTGTATTCCCAGCACCTTGGGAGTCCAAGGAGAGTGAATCACTTGAGCCCAGGAGTTTGAGACCAGCCTAGGCAACATGGTGAAACCTCATCTCTACAAAAAAAAAAGTACAAAAAAATTAACCCAGCATGGTGATGTGCACCTGTATTCCCAGCTACTCGTGGTGGGGGGAACAGTGAGCTGAGATCACTGCCCTCTAGCCTGGGCTATAGCACAATACCCTGTCTGAATAAATAAATAAATGTGTGGCTTATATTTATTTTGGCAGTGCTGGTCTAAGGTGTGTAAATGCAGAATTGATGAGCTGACCAAGCTAGGTAGAGATTTCCCTGTTTGGATTCTACTCATGCCTGAAAGAGGAGTCCCCCAGCCACCACTGCCAGCTACTGGGAATCCTGTGATATTTCACTCACCAGCTTTTCTCTTCCCTCCCAGGATACCATATCTCAGAAGATGGTAGAGGTTGTATCTCCTGCCAAAATGGACAGGGCTATACCACTCACTGGAATCACCTCCTTTTCTGCTTTCGCTGTACAAAGTGTGATTCAGGTATAGAACATATGGACCCCATGCCTAAAGGTGGAATGCAGGGTGATGACATAAAAGCTGTAGCTAAAATGGGATCAAGGAGACCTAGATTCTGGCCCACCTTGGTCTTCATCATACCTTGTTCTATGGTTTTGTCTTGGAGTCTTTTAATAAATAAAACAGGCCAGGCACAGCGGCTCATGCCTGTAATCTCAACACTTTGGGAGGCATTGCTTGAGCCCAGGAGTTCGAAACCATCCTGGGCAACATGAGAAACCACGTCTCTACGAAAATATAAACATTAGCCAGGTGTGGTGGCGTTTGCCTGTCATCTCAGCTACTCAGGAAGCTGAGGCAGGAGGTTAGTTTGAGTCCAGGAGGTTGAGGTTGCGCGAGCTGAGACTGTCTCAATAATAATAATAAAACAGAAATTATTTGTATAATGTATGCTACATGGTAAGGAAATCTTTTAAACTATCAACTGCAAGGGGGTGGGGGCATGATTACAACACAGAGAAGGCTTGGCTGAGTGGAAAAGTCTGGGTGTCAGTGGTGGCACGGGTCTGCTCCAGGGCCAGGCTCTCTGGCCCGGGCTCTGTGCTCCTGGCAGGTTCTCAGTCCCCTTCCGGCTCCCCAGCAAGGCTGGGCTTTGGGGAAATCACCCAAGGGCTCCTCTCCTTGCAGAGTCTGTGAGGCGATGCCCCTGCGCCTCCCTTGCTACTGACCATGCAATCTAAACGATGCTTTCCTCTAATCTGATGTAATCAATAATGAATCGTGGTCCTTTTATATGACTCCAAGTGTTGGTGACAGCTGAAGGGTGGGTGTCAGTATGAGCCCTGAATGTGCTGGTGCAGAAACTGGCCCTCAGAACTCCTTGGTGAACTGAACTGAACTGAGTGGGAGGGTCTTGGGGTGAGGAGGAAGGGTCGAGGGACACATCAGGAAAACGCATTCCCAAAACGTTCTGCTCTATTGTTAGGTAAAGTGGAGGTGAGATCCTGCACCACGGTGACAGACACAGTGTGTCACTGCGAAGAAGGCACCTTCCAGGAAGAAGATTCCCCTGAGATATGCCGGAAGTGCAGCCCAGGGTGAGACGGCAGCCACGGGGCTCCCGGCAGCTCCATGGAACCCCAAGAAGACTCAAATCTCCTTGTACCCCCATCTCTCCCTGGCCCCATGGAGCCTCCACCCCCATGGGGCATCCTTGAGTCTGCAGCTGCCCCTCCTGGTCCCTCTGCCTGTCCCCACCCCTGCCCCCCACAGCAGCCCTTTCCCACCCCTCCCCAGCATGAGTCCCCTTGGCTAGGCTGACTTGCTCACTGCCCACAGAAGGCCATGACTTAGGGCCCATGATACTTTTAGGGGCCCATGAAATTATTTCATTTCTTTTTTTGTTGTTGTTGTTGAGATGGAGTCTTGCTCTGTCACCCAGGCTGGAGTGCAGTGGTGCGATCTCGGCTAATTGCAGTCTTTGCCTCCCAGGTTCAAGTGATTATCCTGCCTCAGCCTCCGAGTAGCTGGGATTATAGGCATGCACCACCACACCCGGCTAATTTTTGTATTTTTAGTACAGACGGGGTTTACACTGTGTTAGTCAGGCTGGTCTCGAATTCCTGACCTCGTGATCTGCCAGCCTCAGCCTCCCAAAGTGCTGGGATTACAGGCATGAGCCACCGCGCCCGGCATGATTTAATTTCTTTTGAAATGAGAAGAATAAGTAGAATGCTGCCAGGCTTATATTCATCTTTATAGCAATTCAGTACTAAAATGTAATTTTTAATATTTTTTATGCAGGCAGGGACCCATAAAGACAAAAGTGCCTGCAGCCCACAAAAGTCGCAATCAGGCCATGGGTAGAGCTCCCTTAAGTTCCCATGAAGAGTTGAGCCCACCCAGCCGGCCTCACCCCTGGCCCCTGATCCCTCAATAAGACCTGTCTTTTCCCTATTTGGGTTTTAGGAGCCAAGAGTAATGTGCTGTTCCCTGGCCCCCTAGTATTTGCTGTGACTGGGAGGAATGGGCAGACAGGTGGGGGCAAGAGCTCACCTTTGTGGTTGGCTGGAGGATGAGGCTCTGCTTGTGACCACATGGGCTTGTGATTTTCCCCTGGAGTGTGGCTCCTCCTAACGCAGGCCTCCCCTGCAGCCCAGGGAAGCTCAGTGTGTGCCCAGCACAGAAGGCTCCTGGAGCTGCAGCTCTGACCCCAGAGCAGGGAGGCCGAGGGGCTGAAGTGTGCATGCTCAGACCCTTCCCCAGCCTCAACCAGGCAGCATGGAGGGGCCCTGCAGACATGAGGAGCCTGTCCTTCCCCTCATGCCTTCTCAGGGACATTGGGCAGGGAGGGTAGCTCCTCTTTCATCTCACCTGGCTAGCTTTCCTTCAAGAGTCCCCCCTCTTCCTTCCTGTTTGTACCCAGGTGCCCCAGTGGGATGGTCCTGGTCAGTAATTGTACGCCCTGGAGTGACATCAAGTGTGTCCACAAAGAATCAGGTACAAAGCCCAATGGAGGCACCCCAGCTGCAGAGGAGACAGTGACCTCTAGCATGGGGACTCCTGCCTCTCCCTGTTCCCTCTCAGGCATCATCATAGGGATTACAGTTCCAGCCATATTCCTGGTTGTGGCTGCGCTTATTTGGAAGACTTCACTGTGGAAGAAAGTCCTTCCTTACCTGAAAGGCATCGGCTCAGGTAGGTGCTGGCTGAGGGCGGGGCGCTGGGCCCTCTCTGCCCTGCCTCCTCCCGCTCTGTTCCCACAGACAGAAACACCCACTCCTGCCCCAAGTCCAAGTGTCTCCGGCCTGGTTGTTCCTCCTTGTGATTGCCCCATCCCCACATCCCATGCACCGCCCAGGACCCTGGTCTCATCAGTCCCTCTCCCAGGGCCGGGGGTCCCCTCATCTGCCAGCCAGGTCCAGGAGGGCAAGGCCAGTTCCTCCCATATTCAGGCCCAGCCAGGCAGGGGGCAGTCGGCTCCTCAACTGGGTGACCAGGGTCAGGATGAGATGTGGTTGGAGGATTTATTCAACCTTGGTCATAGCAGACCCAGAGATTTTCCATGTGTTTATTTTTACTCTAATTCCCCTTCTCATCACCCTTCCTCAGGGTGTCTCTGAGTTGCAAAGTCCCATTCCTGTCCCCAGGCTCGGGGTTCCTTGTCCAGGGTCCAGCCCCCAGCCTGCCCCTGCAAGCCCACTGCCCGCCCCTGCAAGCCCACTGCCCTCTGGGAGGGAGGTGCTGCATGGGCCCTGCCCCAGCCGTTAAGGAGACTCCTTCTCTTCCAGGTCGTGGCCGGAACCTTGAGCATGTAGACAGAGTGAGTTGGTTTCTTCAGGAGCTGGGGCTCAGAGGCTCAGGAACTGTTTCCTGGGATAGCAAAACCTGGGTGGGCAGGTCCCTCTTATTCTCATGGCTGTCCTGACTCTCTGAAGTGGCCTGGAGGCCCTGGGCTGACTGTGGGGGACACATGGCTGTTGCTGTTTTGAGCACCACACAGGCTGGTGAGCCCTGCTGCAGCCTCGGTGACACCCTCACCCCACAGCCTGCACCCTGGAGATGGGGTGTCTGCCTGAGCACAGCATCAGGGGCCTGGCCTCAGCAGTGGGTCCTGGATGTGTTGAGTCTGGGCTGCCTGGGGTGACCTCATTGGGAGTGGGTAGGGATGGCAGGTTCAGTAGCATTCTGGGGACCCTGCAGCGTGCCCTGGGTGTGAACTCCTGAGTCGGCTCTTTGCCTTCCCAATGTCTTTTTCCAGAGCTCACATGCCCGAGGAGGGCCTGGGACTGAGGACAATGTCCGCAACGAATCCATGAGTATCTTGCAGCCCATCCAGGACCCTGAGCAGGAAATGGAAGTCCAGGAGCCAGCGGTGGCAGGTGACAACATGTTGCCTCCAGGGGAGCCAGAGCATCTGCTGGTGAGTGGAGAACAGGGCATTCTGTTTCCTGGCCTGCTGCTCACTTGGGATTTTGTAGACAGTGGGAGAAGGCAGTGCCTTAGCTCTCCTGGCCCAGGAGAAATGAACACTGAAGGAGACACGGGACTGCAGGGGATGGAGCAGCCACACTGACGTGACTGTGCCACTCTGCAGGACATCTGCTTCTTAGTTCCTGTGCTGTCCTTGCTGTGTCCCCAGAGCCTAGAGGTCTACAGGCACAGAGTGGGGGTCACAGGGTTTGCTGATGACTGAATAAGGCTGCACGGTCTCCACCCTGTGCTCCTAATGGAACTCAGGGAGTCCTTGCTTGAAACAGCAGAAGTTTTGAATTTACTCTGAAATTATTATGTTGAACATGTTTCAAAGTTGGTAGGGTAGCTCCCAAAAAGTAGGATTCCGAGTTGATGCACAGAGGGCTTTTATATTGGACACATGCACACCACCAGTTCATTTCAATCCATCAGTTTTGATACGGTACTGAGTAGGTGGGAAATCTGTACATAGATTTAATTTTTCATTGCACGAAAGCACTGAAAGTCCTTCCCTCCAACATAAGATGAGATTATCCAGTTTCTCACAGTGTTTTATTTTTAATGATTTAATTTTCAGCATACAGCAACGTAATCTAAACAGAAATGAATTTTTTGATTCAATATAAGCTGAGGAACTCCCTGAATTATTCTGAGTGTGTTTTCTTCTTCCAAGTCCATTTAACGACCAGTTCTTCCTTTTCCCCCTGCCTTTGCCCTTTTGCCACCTCCTTTGCTACATGTCAGATGTTTCCTTTTTTTTTTCCTCTTCCTCTTCATCCTTTTTTTTAACTAGATCTTGTTCTTGAAAATTTCAAGAGTTGATGTGAGCAGTGATCTCTTCCACCTAGACTGTTTCTGTTTCCTCCTTGCATCTATACGACTTTATTTTTAAGTAAAGAGAAGAAAATTTTAAAGAAATCAAATGAACAATGCCAATAATTCCTCGATGCTTATTAATCACTTCGAACATTTTTTTTTGAGACAGGATCTTGCTGTATTGCCCAGGCTGGAGTGCAGTGGCACGATCTTGGCTCCTTGCAACCCCTGCCTCCTGGGCTCACGTCATCCTTCCATCTCAGCCTCCTAAGCAGCTGGGACTATAGGCATGTGCCACTGTGCCCAGCTAAATTTTGTACTTTTTGTACAGACAGGGTTTGGCCATTTTGCTTAGGCTGGTCTTGAACTCCTGAGCTCATCCAATCCACCCTCTGTGGCCTCCCAAAATGCTGGGATTACAGGCACAAGCCACCATGCCTGGCCTGATCATTTTTTAAAAGCAGGTCACCCATAGCTACACATCCACCAGAATATGAAAACACTTGATCATCTCCAGAGCCTCCTCTCTTTCCCCAGCCTTCTTGCCCTTCTTATTTCAGGTAACTACAGTGGATAATTTCTTGCAAAACTCTTTATGCATATACCGTCTTTGTCCATGCATATGTGTATATGCAGTATTGACATGAAAAGGATTATATCATGCACAACACTAAACAAAACTGTTTTAATATCTTAGACAGCAAATATGTTTTCAAAATCATTTTTGCACATCTTAAAATGTAGAATTAGATAAAATTTAGAATTATAAGATTTTCTCTGCACCTCCCCCCAGCCCCAAATAATCACTGGACTTTAAAAAATGTTAATTTAAATTAATAAATGGCTCTAGGAGTGATGGAGATCCTTTCAACATTCAGTTTTATTATCAAAGAAGACAGTATTTCAAGTCAAGTGTTTTATTATGACTCAATCAAGATTTGGGGGTTTATTTTAGATAAATTATTTTTATTCCTCATCAAAGCTGTTTCTTTGCATTTTGGGTCTTCTTGTAAGTCCTTTTTTTTTTTTTTTTTGGGATGGAGTTTCGCTCTTGTTACCCAGGCTGGAGTGCAATGGCGCGATCTCGGCTCACCGCAACCTCCGCCTCCCGGGTTCAGGCAATTCTCCTGCCCCAGCCTCCTGAGTAGCTGGGATTACAGGCACGAGCCACCATGCCCAGCTAATTTTTTGTATTTTTAGTAGAGACGGGGTTTCACCGTGTTGACCAGGATGGTCTCGATCTCTTGACCTCGTGATCCACCCGCCTCGGCCTCCCAAAGTGCTGGGATTACAGGCTTGAGCCACTGCGCCCAGCCCGTAAGTCCATTTTCTATTTTATGATGTCTGCTGATACTTTTCTTTCTTTTCTGAGACAGGTATCACTCTGTCACCCAGGCTGGAGTACAGTGGTACAGTCATGGGTCACTGTAGCCTTGACCTCCTAAGCCCAAGTGATCCTCCTGCTTCAGCCTCCTGAGTAGCCAGGACCACGGTTTTGTGCCACTATACCCAGCTAATTTTTATTTTTTATTTTAGAGACAGGATCTCACTATATTGCCCAGGCTGGTCTCAAACTCTTGGGCTCAAGCAGTCCTCCCACCTCGGCCTCCCAGAGTGCTGGGATTACAGGTGTGAGCCACCATGTCCAGCCTCTGCTGTGTTTTAACATTCATCAGGGCTGGGTGTGATGGCTCACGCCTGTAATCCCAGCTCTTTGGTAGGCTAAAGCGGGTGGATCACCTGAGGTCAAGAGTTCAAGACTAGCCTGGCCGACATGGTGAAACCCTGTCTGTACTAAAAAATACAAAAATAAAATACAAAAATTAGCTGGGCTTGGTGGCTCGTGCCTGTAATCCCAGCTACGTGGGAGGCTGAGCAGGAGAATCTCTTGAACCCAGAGGTGGAGGTTGCAGTGAGCCAAGATCGCACTACTACACTCCAGCCTGAGAGACAGAGCGAGACCCTGTCTTAAAAAAAAAAAATTCATCAGGACATACTCACTTTTTTAAGTATTACAATTTAAACATTGGGGTTTTAAAAATATACACTCCTGTCTAAAATATTGACTGTTGTGTTGGCCTCCTTCCAAGAGTCTTGCCCCTTTGTTCCCTGTCTTGTTGCCAGAACTTTCAGAACAATGTTCTTTCCGGAAGTGAGGGGCTGCAGGTGTCAGGGCTGGCGGGTGGTTGGGGTCAGTACTGGACTGCAGGACTCCTGGTTCTGACCACAGCCTTCCCCACTGTGTGTCACAGGAACCAGCAGAAGCTGGAGGGTCTCAGAGGAGGCAGCTGCTGGTTCCAGCGAATGGCGCTGACCCCACTGAGAGTAAGTGTTTTGCTCCTGGAGATGCAGTAGCAATGGAGGGAATAGGGACAGTGTCCTAATTGCTGTCCCCATAGCTGAGAGGGCTCTTCCAGAATATTCCATGCTGGAAGCAGTGGTTCCTGTGCTGTAGACCATCTGGACCCTAAATTGTCTTCTCCCATCTCTTCTTCTCCCCACTCTGCCTCATCCTGTCTGCACCCTATCAGTGACCCTAATGACTCTGTCCGTCCCCTCGTTCAGCTCCTCTCTCTTCCCTTGTTGCCCAGGGCCTGATGCAGCCCACCCGCCCCTATACCCCGCCCCGAGGACCTCCTGAGGGGCTGCTCTGTCCTGCGTGGCACCACTAACCCCAGTGGGCTAAGGAGCTCTTGACATATGCCTAAGCCCAATTTGGAGAGCTCTTGTGTAAGCTACATATGAATTCCAAAGACTTCATGCACAAAAAAAGAGTGCGAAATATTTCACTCATAATTTTTGTATATTGACTGTATATTATATTTTATATATATTCAGTACCATACATTAAAATGAATGTCGCTTGTTTCTTATGTTCTTTAAACAAGGCTGTTAGAAAACATCGCCCCGTATTCCCGGCCCTGTCTATCTCTGAGGACGGCGGCCTGCTTCATGTTCTACACACGTCTCGTTTACTGCCTCGTGGTCCCGAGATCTGGGCCAGGTTGCTTTGTCTCCAGGTTCAATTCTTGCTCAGGGTCTTCTAGCCCTCACCTAGCTCTGCCCTAGCCTCAGGGAATGAGGCTGAGCTGGGTGTAAACAGAGGTCCCCTGCCCCAGGCCCTGCGCTTTCCACAAATGCTGAAGTGGCTGCCCTGGGACCTGCTCCCATGACAAGTGCAGGCCAGGCAGCCTCCCTCCTCTGAGCTCCTGCTGCAGCCACGCTCTCTCCCTCCCTCGGGCTCTCACCCACTTTGCTTTCTGCGTCCGTGGTGTCCATCCATCCTCCCCGGGTGGGTTCTCAGCCCTATGTAAGAGCAGATTCTCTGGTGACCTTGACTCCCTGAAGTACCTTGGGTGTGGGAAGGCCAGGCAGTGTGGGCGGGCTCTCTGTGGATGGGAAGTGCATGGGCACCGGAGCGGCAGGATCACCCGCACAGGGGGCTCTCCAGGTACCCCACCTTGGTTCAGGGCCTGATGTGGGATCCTCTGTCCTTTCTGAGTCCCAGCTCACCTGGCTGTCTCTGTGGCTTTTTCCACCCAGCTCTGAGGCAGTGCTTCCACCACTTTACAGACAACGTGCCCTTTAACTCCTGGGTGCCGTTCATGAGGGAGCTGGGCCTTGCGGGCAATGAGATCGACATTGCGAGAGCTGAGGCCGCGGGCCCTGGGGACATCTTGTACGAGATGCTAAGAAAGTGGGTCAACAAAACGGGGCGGGACGCCTCTGTCAACACCCTGCTGGATGCCTTGGAGGCGCGGGGACAGAGACTTGCAAAGCAGAAGATCCAGGATTGCCTGGTGAGCTCTGGAAAGTTCGTGTATCTAGAAGATGATACAGACTCTGCCATCTCCTGAATGTGAATCCCTTCAGGAAGTCAGACCTTCTAGAAACAGGTTTGCCTTTGTTTCTGGAAAAAGCTGGACTCCAGACAGTGGGAAAGGACAAACTGTCACATGACCGGTACTGGAAGAAACTCTCCCATCCAATATCACCCATGGATGGAACATCCTAGAACTTTTTCACTGCACTTGAAATTCTTTTTATAAGCTGAATGTGATGATAAGCACACTATGGAAATGTGTGGATGATTCTGTGTGTGTGTATTGAGAGTTGGTTTGGGATGTCGTTCTCTGTGGCACTTTTTTATCCTAATGCAAATGCTTTATTACATGGGTTACATCATATAATCCATCTGCCTTAGCATCTACGCAGTTCTTTATGTTCAACTTTACTTGATACTGTATGATATGAACTTTTTTCTGGGGACGGTCTCACTGTCTCCCAGGCTGGAGTGCAGTGGCGGGATCTTGGCTCACCAGAGCCTTGACCCCACAGGCTCAAGCGATTCTCCCACCTCAGCTGTCCAAATAGCTGGGACCACAGGCGTGCACCACCACGCCCAGCTAATTTTTTGTATTTTTTCTAGATATGGGGTCTCTCTGTGTTGCCTAAGGGGGTCTCAAACTCCTGGACTCAAGCAATCCGCCCACCTCAGACTCCCAAAGTGCTTTGATTATAGGTGTGAGCCCCTGCACCTGGCCTTACCTTTCTACTTTTATAATTCTGTATGTGATTATTTTGTGAACATGAAGAAACTTTAGTAAATGTACTTGTTTACATAGTTATGTGAATGTGTTAGACAAATGTACAATGAATAGACATACAACGAGGGAAGAAGAAAAATTCCTCTGTAAGATGTCACTGTCTGGGTTCCAGTTCTCCCTCAGATGTACTTTGGATTCAGTGACTGGCAACTCAGTCTTTTGAACTGGATAACCCTAGAAGTGTATGAGTATTATTTATAGGTAGTTGTTTACATGCGAGTCGAGGCCAAGGAGAACTGGATCCATGTGAAGTCCTGTGTGTGGCTGGTCCCTATCTGGCCAGTCTCCTTTGCACCCCCAACCCCCATCTGTGGACAGGCAGGGAGGGAGGCAGATGGGTTAGATCAGACGCAAGTAGGGTCTATGTCATATCTCATTTCCAGTGAATGTAGTGAACTTGAGCCTGTTTGGGCTCTGGAGAGAGAGGACAAAATCTGTCTCCCATGTCTGCCATGACATCAAGAGGGAAGAGTGGAAGGTGCTTGGGAATGGTGTGAAGACGCTGCCAACTCAGGAGTGGACGGTCCCACTTGCTTCTGGTGATCTGTGGCCCTGAGCCCCTGAGCTGCATCTGAGGGTACAGGTTCCCTATGTGAGGAGCTTGGCCCCTCTGTAAGCATCTGACTCATCTCAGAAATATCAATTCTTAAACACTGTGGCAACAGGACCGAGACTGGCTGACGCATTCAGGCTTTGTCCCTGTGTCCTGTTCTATTACTGTTTTAAAACCTCAGTAACCATTTCAGCCTCTTTCCAGCAAACCCTTCTCCATAGTGTTTCGGTCATGGCGGGATCATTTTTGCAGGTAGTCATTCTAGGAGTTTTTAGTCATTTCCTTCTCAAGACATTGTGTGTTGTCCTGTTCTGGGACTAGTTTGACTGGGACAGTTAGAATTCCCTGAAGATTTCGGCACATTCAGAGTGTTGTGTCTGTGGAGCTTTGGGAGGGGGTGGCCTTTCTGGTCTTGGCACTTCCGTCCTCTCCCACTTCCATTTGGCATCCCACGTGTTGTCCCCTGCACTTCTGGAAGGCACAGGGTGCTGCTGCCTCCTGGTCTTTGCCTCTGCTGGGCCTTCGGTGCAGGATGCTCAGCCGCAAAACTCAGAGGGAGCCAGTCTGGTCCCAGCTCCCTTGTCCCTTCTGCAGAGGCCTTCCTTGAAGAGCATCTAGAGTATCAGCCTTATCAGCGTTTGTAAAGCGTATACTTTTTTGAAGATGGAGTCTTGCTCTGTCACCCAGGCTGGAGTGCAGTGGCACGATCTCAGCTCACTGCAACCTCTGCCTCCTGGGTTCAGGCAATTCTCCTGCCTCAGCCTCCCGGGATTACAGGTGTGCGACACCATGCCCGGCTAATTTTTGTATTTTTAGTAGAGATGGGGTTTCACCGTGTTGACCAGGCTAGTCTTGAACTCCTGACTTCATGATCCACCCACCTTGGCCTTCCAAAGTGCTGGGATTACAGGTGTGAGCCACCATGTCCGGCTAAGCTTATTCTTTTATTTTTTTGAGACAAAATCTTGCTCTGTCACCCAGGCTGGAGTGCAACGGCGCGATCTTGGCTTACTTTGATTTTGTTGACTCACTCTTGACCCCTGGGTTCAAGTGTTCCTCTTGCCTCAGCCTCCCAGGCAGCTGGGATTACAGGCGCCCACCACCATGCCCAGCCAAGCTTCTTTTAAAGTAAGTTTCCTGACGTGAAATTGTTGGCGTTTTTTGTTGTTTGGGTAGGTTGGGTTTTGCTCTATCACCAGGCCAACTAGCGTGTGACACACGGAAGCCACTTAGTGCAGTGTGTCACACGTGGTCGGTGTCCTTTCATGCCTCTGCCTTGTCAGAGGTCCCTGTTTTAGAGTATTAAACAATACAAGGAAGCCCGTTATGTACAAAATACTTATGTATTTATGAATTAATGACCAAATTAAATATGAAACCTTATATAAAAAGAGGTGTGGTTTTGTCTCCCGCCCCATCCTCCCCTCCTCAGTGAATCAGCTCAGAGCGACAGGAGGCCAGGGCTCTGGTCCTGCTGGGACTCCTTCCTTCCTCCCCTCTCTGCCTTCAGGTGTGGCCTGCTTGGGGGGTTTCCTGCATCCGACTCCCTGGAGTTTAAAAAGCCAGGTTCCTGGGGACTGGAATTCATACCTCCTTCCCCTCTCTCCTGCCTGCTCCTCCCTCTGGGGACAGGGGCACCACAGCTGGCCTGGTTCACCCACAGCCTCCCAGGAGGGTTCTCCTGGCTGCCTGGCTCCTGCATCTATCTCTGACAGTTCTCAGGGAAGGGGTGGTGGGTCCCTGAGGGGTAAGCCAGGCCTGTTTCTCAGGGAGTCCGGTGGTCACTCTCCTGTGGCTTCCTGCAGCCCTGGGCCACCTTCACTTTCTCTGCCCTGGCATTCCCTGCATCCCATCAGTGGACCCAGGTTGCCCAGCCCTGCAGGCACCTGGGAGATCCATTTCCCACTCTCCTTGTCCTGGAGGACCCGCTCTCCCTCTCGCCCACGGCTCCCGGGAGGCCCAGAGGGGAGGAGGTGGGGCTGCTCTGGGCTCCCCTCTTGCTTCCCTGGTGCCCAGCCCCTGGGCTCCTGAGCCTCACTTGGAGCCCCGGGCTGAGCGGAACTGCAGGGAGGCCGAGCAGCCTGTAGAGGGCAGCACGCGCACGGCTTCGCAGCCAGCCGCCCTGGAGCACGTGGAGGGGAGGCAGCCACAGCCCTGGAGGATCCTGGGCCTGGACAACATGGCTTCCCCCAGGGCTAGAGCCGCTTGTCCTCCCACTGCCTGCTCTCTCTCGATGAGGATTTAACTTTGTTTCGGGTTCGCTCAACACCAGGCCTAACCAGCGTTTTCCCGGAGCCCAGCCCAGAGCCAAGCTCTCTCAGCCAGAACATCTCTCACAGGTGAGGCAACTCCTGAGCTCGAGCCCGCAGCCCCACGGACTCCACTTTTACACCTAAAGGGTGGTGAAATTTGGGTTTGGATTAGAAAACGGAAAGGGCCCAGCGTTTGTGGCCACAATTGTGGCCCAGCGTTTGCCCCATGGGGGCTGGAAGCTACTGTTCAACCCCCTCCATTCCTCCAGCCCCGCCCTCGTCCTCTCTGGATGAACCTGGCTCTCCCTCCTGCCCCATTCCCCCTCCTCTCCTTCCCTTTATCCCACCCGGCACTAAGAAGGCCAGGTCCTTTATTTTCGCTAGGGAGACTGCTAGAAACCAGGGCCACGCCCCTTTCCCTGACCTCCGGCCCCTACTGCAGCCCCCCGAAAACACCCACCAGAAGCATCCTGTGGGGTGGTCCTTTGAGGGCAAGGAGGGGAGCCTGCAGTCTCCAGACAGGCAAAAGCAAACGTCCGGTGCCATCTGAGTCCTGAAACCAAACCCCTCCTTGCCGCCAGCCTCGGCCCCTCCATCACCAGCCGGCTGGAGGCCAGGCCCCTGTGCTGCGCTGGGAGCCAGCTGGCAGGGTCAGGGCCTCCGCCGTCAGAGAAGTGCCGAGTCCCTTACTGAAAGGCATTGGCGTCGATTCTGCAACCTCTATCTTCACCTCCTCATCATGGGGGCCTCTGTTTAGAGAAATGTGAGCTAGGCAGGGGCTTTTTCTGATTTTCATTCTTTGGGGTGCATAGAGGACAGAGTGTTTGTTGGTGATTTTTTGTTTCGGTTTCGGTCTGGTTCTTGTTTGCTTTTGTTTTTTGCTAATTCTGCCCCACCCTATAAAAAGCAGTGGCCCCCAGAGGCCGGGGAGGGCCCTGAGGAGCTCGGGTCGCTGTGCACTGGTTCCCTCTTCCTTCTCCACCTGTCCCAACTGCTTCCTTTGGTTCCCATCTCTGAATCTGAGGGTAAAGGAGGGGTGAGGGAGAAGTTTCTTGTTGCACCAAGAGGTGCTGCTTCCAGGCCTGGAGCTCCGAACGACCTCTGTCCCCCTGATCAGGCCTGCGCTACCACAGCCCCCTGGGAGGGAGGGACGCTGGCGGGATGCAGGCCTTTCCACTCCTGGCCTTTGGCAGCTGCACCCCAGGATGTAGAAGCCTTGAGTTGGGCTCTGAAGGCTCCATTTCTACCCTGACTTCTCCAGTGGGGATTTGAGTAGGCTCCGTGTGGAAATGCCCACAAAACAATTGTAACACTCAAGTCCATCAGTGGAAAAACATGGCCAGCAGGGGCAGGATCACTTCTGCTTGCTGGGAGGGGGCTGCCTCTCTGGCCAGAGCAGTGGCCAAGACACACGGGGAAGCTGTCGAGGCTGGGAAGCTTCCCCTTTGACTCAAGGTCTCTCGAACTCAGAGATAAAATGCCAGAGCGCTTGCTCCTCCCAGCAGTTGACTCCCGTCCTGCTTTGAGTCTGGGGACCTCTGCAGGTGGTTCCCGTTCTGCTCCACAGGGCTCTGCTCCCCTCTGGCTGAGCCACAGTGGCTGGTGAGGACAGCTCCACCCTCTGGGTCCTGGTTACAGGGGCCCCTGGTCCCTGTAAGGTGGATGGGGTGATGCAGAAGAGCAGAGGGGCGAGGGCGGATGGGGACAACAGCAGCAGGGTTAGAAGAGGGTGGCGGCGTCTCAGACCACAGCTGAGGAGGAAGACGGGGATGAAGAGGAGGCTGCCGAGGAGGACGGGGAGGACGGACTGTTCCAGAACAGCCACCGCCGCTTAGGCTGCCGCTTGAGGTGGAGGTAGTCCTCCTTCTCGCGCTCCTTCCGTGCCCGCTGGTAGTGATCTTCCTCCTTCAGGTACCACACGGGCGGCCACCGGTGCTTCTCGAAATACTCCTGGTTTTCTGGAGCAGAGAACAGCGTGGCTTAGTTAGAAAGGAGGCACAGGGACAAGAGGACTGTGGGACACCAGCCCCACCCCGCCACGAGGCCTGCAGCAGGCCCCAGCCCAGCCCCCAACACATCCCCAACACGTGAGCCCCCGAGACAAGCTAAATGCTCAAAGAGCGGGGCTGAAAGTCAGCACTGGGAAGCCCTTCTGGCTATGTTTCTTCCCTAAGACAGCAGGGCGATCTAAACCGGGGCTTCCTGAGCGTTGTGGGTAAAACGACTGAGATGAAGGGTAAAGGAGAAGGGGTCAACAAATGTCGGAGGAGACACTCGTCGTGGTTAGGGGATGAGAGTGGGAGTTTCTGGCCAGAGCTGAGGTTCCCAAGGGGAGATGGAGTCAGGCCACAGCAGGACACAGGATCAGAGCAGAGGAACGCTGGCCTTATTCTGCAGGGTGTGGGGAGCCGCAGAAGGTTTGGAACCAGAGAGTGATGCTATTGGACCTGTGCCTTAGAAAGAAAATGCTAGGCTGGGTGCGGTGGCTCACGCCTGTAATCCCAACACTTTGGGAGGCCAAGGGGGGCGGATTGCCTGAGGGCAGGAGTTTGAGACCAGCCTGGGCAACAAGGTGAAACCCCGTCTCTAGTAAAATACAAAAAAAATTAGCCAGGCGTGGTGCTGCACCCCTGTAATCCCAGGTACTTTGGAGGCTGAAGCACAAGAAGTGCTTGAACCCAGGAAGTGGAGGTTGCAGTGAGCCAAGACTGCACCACTGCACTCCAGCCTAGGCAACAGAGCAATGCTGTCTCAGAAAATAAAAAAAAAAAGTGTTTTAATAGTGAAAAGGTGGAGATATCAGAGGTGGAAGACTTGGCAGCATGGAGCAAAAACGTGGCAGCAGGGTGGAGGGTCACGGCAGAGTGGAGGAAGCCCGAAGAGGACCCCATGGAGTGGCAGACCCCTCAGGGAGGCCAGGGACACCTTCCTGGAGCCTGTGCAGTTCCTGTTGAGCTCTAGGGCCTGAGAAATTAATCAGGAAGAGACAGGAGGCCTCAGAGGATGTCCAGACCTGGGTGGTCCAAGCTGTGGCCTGTGCCCATTCCTGGGTTGTACAATCAATTTAGTGGGCCATGAAAAAAACATATATATTTTCCTATATGTGTCCTGGGTCACAAGAGGAAATGTATTTCTTATTATGGTGTTCTGTCCAGAAAAGTCTGAAATCTGCCAGCTCTAGTCCAGTGTCCTCTTCATTCCTCTGAGAATGAGAAGCCCAGAGAGGCAGGGTGAGTGCCCTCCAGGCCAGTGCTTTTCCTGGGGCCCTTCGGCTTGGCTGGAGGCTCCTTCGCAGGCTACTCCCGGCCCCAAGGTCAAGGGTCATCACCGCAGCCTCCCAGTCCCTGAGTTATGTGGGAGCTGTGGAACCCCAAGGGGAGAGCAGCAGGCGCTGCCAGGCCTGGCCCCGGATGCTCACCTGGGGACATGGCCTTCATGTCTCGGGGGAACTTGCGGCACACGTTGTTGTAGTTGGTGCAGATGTGGTGGAGACACCAGTCAGCCAGCTGGTACGCACAGTGGAACTGGGGACAGGAGGGAAGGGTATCTGCACTGAAATCTCCAGGGGAGAGGGTCTGCAGACACCTCCAGCTGCCTTTAGCGCTAAAGCCTGCGGTCTTAGAGTGCCCACGCCAGAGGCAAGGCCACACAAAACCGAGGATGCTGCTGCCTCAGGCTCCTTGGCACGACTGCCAGCACAGCCATCCCTCGCCTCTGTTCTGCCCGCTCCCAGCATCCTCGCTGCAGACACCCAGAGCCCCATGTGGTGGCTTCATACTGTGCCCTCCTCAGATCTTATGCCACGTGACTTCCCTCTCCTCCCCAACAGGGACCAAGGCAGCCTGCACCGAGGCGCTGACAGTGAGCAGAGGGAGCTACTTTCCCAGGGGTGTCTGCAAGCCCTGTGTGAGCCGGGCTATCACCCCACACACTAATCTTTGGTGGCTGAATTTCTGGCACGGTGAGGGCCAGTGTGGGAGATTTTGCTTGTCTGTTTGGTGTTAAGGGAGTGGGCAGTTAATTTCAGATGGAGAGTCCTCAGTCCCCCTTAAATGACCTCAGGCAGGCAGCAACCATATGTAAGCCTGAGCCTGGGGTTCCCTCCCCGGCTCTACTGCTGCCTAAAGCCTCATCCCTTCCCTGCTTGGCCAGCTCCCCTCCGGGTACATCAAGGTTCCCCAGCTGCTTCCTGGCACGGAGGGGACATGGGCTCCGCACAGTTAAGGAGTCCAGTCCAATGACAGGTTCCCCACATCGACCGCCTTCCAGCCTTCCCACTCACAGCCAATGGGAGGCAGAGTGTGGTACTGAGGCTGCCGTAGATTCCCTTCCCTGCCGTGATACCTGAGCCAGCTCCAGGAACACAAGGACGTCCCCATCGATGTCCACCATCATCTGGGTTGCTTCCATCAGCCCGGTCACTGTGTACTGCTCTGTGACACACATGGCCACCAATCAGCTGAAGAAGCACATGACAGGACCTGCGTTCACCCTCCCCCTGTTCCTCTCCCTCCCAGCTCACTGCAGGGCAAGGAAAACCAGGACCCCAGCAAGTCCCAATAGGGCAGGAAAGGCCCCAGGCTATGAAGTCTGCTGCCACTGGGAATGCCAGGGATGAGAGCAAGACCTTCTCGACAGGCTGGGTTAGGAAGAGTAAGTGGGACATTAGGATCATCCAAGAGGATCTTTCAAACTACGAATGTCTGACGACATAATCTGATAGAGATAGGGTCAAAGTTCCCAATAGAACCAGCCACTGATATACAAAGGCGAGCGTGGGAAACCTCGTGCCTGGTGATCAAAGAAAAAGGCTGAGAACTGTTAGAACTAGAAGTTACCTCTAGTTGTTTGTTTTAATTTAAATTTTGTAACAAGTTGTGTACTAAGCTTGCATTTAAGTTAAAATATTTATATTGAAGAAATAAACACCCTTGGTTATGAATTTTATTTAGAAGTATCAGTATAAACTCATGAGTTATCTTATCCTTAAAAAGATCAGGCCAGGTGCAGTGGCTCATGCCTATAATCCCAGCACTTGGGGAGGCTGAGGAGGGCAAATCACAAGGTCAGGAGTTTGAGACCAGTCTGGCCAATATAGTGAAACCCCGTCTCTACTAAAAATACAAAAAAATTAGCCGGGTATTGTGGTGTATGTCTGTAATCCCAGCTACTTGGGAGGCTGAAGCAGGAGAATCGCATGAACCTGGGGGAGCGAAAGTTGCAGTGAGCCAAGATCGTGCCATTGCACTCCAGCCTGGGCAACAGTGCAAGACTCCTTCTTTTAAAAAAAAAAAAAAAAAAAAAATCAAGATCAATGTATTTCCCAGCTGTGTCCACAGAAAAGACTTAGAAACAACAACCATCCCAGCACAATAAGCATTCCTAATGCATACAAATCCCAGTTCCACTTCCAACATAAGAAACCAGGACTTCCTGAAGAAATGGCTGATTCCAGGTCTGGGGCATAGAATGTTCAAGAGGAACCCAGAACATCCCATCATTCCAAATAGAGAGGAAGTCCAGAGACTCTGGAGCCAAGACAAAGAGTGTATGTAGGATTTGAGCTTCAATGAGGATAACTGCAATTAATTGAAACCAATCAAGTATGTTCAAATCTAAGAGAGATCAAAATAATACTTAGAAAACAAACAACTGGCTGGGCATGGTGGCTCATGCCTATACTCCCAGCACTTTGGGAGGCCAAGGTGGGCAGATCATTTGAGGTCAGGAGTTCGAGAACAGCCTGGCCAACATGGTGAAACCCCACCTCACCTAAAACTACAAAAATTAGCTGGGTGTGATGGCATGCGCCTGTAGTCCCAGCCACCCAGGAGGCTAAGGCAAGAGAATTGCTTGAACCCGGGAGTGAGCCAGTATCGTGCCACTAAACTCCAGCCTGAGCAACAAAGTAAGACTCTGTGTCAAAATAAATAAATAAATAAAAATTAGCTGAGTGTGGTGAGGCATGCCCATAGTCCAAGCTACTTGGGAAGCTGAGTCGGGAAGATCACTTGAACCTAGGAATTCGAGGCTGCAGTGAACTATGATCAGACCACTGTATTCCAGTCTGGGCAACAGAGCAAGATCCTGTCTCTAAAAAAATATAATCACAGTAATAATTCAGTAAGCTGAACATATGTTTCATGTGCTTTTATGTATTTGCATTCTACTGAACAATAACACGTTTTCCACTTGAATTAATGGCTTCACAGGAAGCATATTTTTTTTTTAATAATTTTTTTTTCTTTTTTTAAAGATGGGATTTCACCATGATGGCCAGGTCTTGACCTCCTGACCTCAGGTGATCCACCCACGTCAGCCTCCCAAAGTGCTAGGATTACAGGCGTGCGCCACCACGCCTGGCCAGGAAGCATATCACCAATTATACAAAACTTGGCATCTTCCACTGATCCTTAGCAAGGCAGATATATACACTTTTGTATATGTTTCCTAGAGTGTATCGACAATTTCATGAAAAGTTTCTTAACATGATTTCAATAAGCCTTTCCATGCAGCGGTCCAGTTTGACATTTTTAATGACTACCATGTAACTGCCCGTGTGTGCTTAACCAAGGGTTTGGCTGTGACTTGCTTCTAATTGCCAATTTTTCCCCTTTGGGTCATTTTTCTGGAGGTGGTCTTTTAAAAGTGGAATTATTCCATCTAAGAATTTGAAGCTTTATGTGCTCTGGGAAGACCACACCATTTTTTCATGGACAGCAAGAAAAGATACACTGTTGTAGCTGGGATCTTTCGAAGCCTCTCTTGCTACCTGCCCCAAAGTCCCCTTTACCCCTTTTTGGGGACCCTGGACTCCCTCTGCGGCCTCAGCTCTTAATCTTCTGGTTCTGATCAATGATTTCTGCCTTCTTTCCATAACCCAGCCCCACCTTATTCATTTTTCACCTTAGGATTGCTGTTTTCTCTCATACCTGAGCCCCAATCTTCATCATCTGCCTAGATAGACCCCAGCAGCTGTGACACTGGGCCCTTCCCTGAACCTCAACTCAGTATGTGAGGATCTGCTCTCTGCCCCCCGACCTATGCAAGAATATTAACCTCGGCATCAGTATGACCACTGGTACCCATGTCACCACCACTAGCTGAAACAAGAGCTGGCTGCCTGCCTGGGTCCAGGTCTCCGGCCCCAGGCTTCCTTCACCCCGCGGACACCACTTCTCTCCCCTGGGCCTTTGGACCCAGACTGCCTGCCACTGGCTCTCCCCCACACCTCAGTTCTTGCACCACCTCAGAGAGCCCCTGGGATTGGTCCATGCAAAAAGCTGAGCTCTGGCTCACGCAATCTGTTCAAAGACTAAGGAGTGGCAGGGATGTTTGTGTGCTGTTTCTGGAAGGAGGAAGAGAAGGTGATGTCAAGGGTAGGGAAAGAAGAAAAAAGGCAAAAGAAGTAGAAGAAGAAAAATGAACAAAAGGAGAACCACAGGGTAAAAATGTAGGAATTGTGTTCTTTTTTGACTGCTTAAGCTTGTCCAAGTGAAGCCAAGCTAAGAACATAAAGCAAGATCATGTTCCATTTTTGTTTGTTTGTTTTGAGATGCAGTTTTGCTCTGTCCCCCAGGCTGGAGTGCAGTGGTGCAAACTCAGCTCACTGCAACCTCTGCCTCCAGGTTTCAAGCAAGTCTCCTGCCTCAGCCTCCCGAGTAGCTGGGATTACAGGTGCCTGCCACCAAACATGGCTAATTTTTGTATTTTTAGGAGAGACGGGGTTTCACCATGTTGGCTAGGCTGGTCTTGAACTCCTGGCTTCAAGTGATCTGCCCACCTCGGCCTCCCAAAGTGCTGGGCTTACAGGTGTGAGCCACTGAGCCCAACCTCATGTTCCATTTTGTTGGGCTGAAATCGCCTTTGGAGAGAGCCCCTCAGGTGACCCCATCAAGCATCCCCTGTACACACCGTTCTTCACTCTGTCTCCTCATCCAGAACTCTGTGCCTGTCAACAGATTCCATTTGATGTAAGCTTAGTCCCTTGGACATGAGCTAGTCCCCCAGGAGGAGAGAGGTGAGAGGAGAACATAACATCGCCCCTTGGGGTTTCCCTGACCTCCCCTCCAGGGAGGTCCCCAAGCGCTCCGCTTAGTTACCTGTGAGAGCAACCAGGTGTGGCAGGCAGAGGCGGTTGGCTAGGATGATGAGCTTCATGTCGTCCAGGTCAGGGCTGGACGTGAACATGCCCGTGTAGAGGTATTCCAGCACGGCCCGCATGCAGCTCTTGCTTGTGTAGGGAAACACCACCTGGGTGGGAAGGAGTGACATCACAGCAATGAGGTCCTGCTTAGCAGGAGAGGAAATCAGCCCTGAGAAACTGAAGAGCTCTGGGCTGCATGCCGGGGCTCCCCGAGACGGGAAGCCTTCCCTGTGCTGCGTGTGTATCGCTGAGAAGACCCCCAACACCTGGCCCCTAGAGCGACAACCTGTGCCGAGCCCCAGTTCGCTGACAGCACCAGAGAACAGGACTCTACTGTCATTTCTGTGTTTATTTTTAGAAATGGAGTCTCGTTATGCCATCCAGGCTGGTCTTGAACTCCTGGTCTCAAGCATTCCTCCTGCCTCAGCCTCCTCTGTAGCCAGGACTATAGGCACAAGCCATGGCATCCAGCTTCTAAACTCTTCCAAAGGGACCTGGATACTCACTGGCATGCTTTGGAAGCCACTCTGGCTTGCGGGATGCTTGAAGAAGGCCTTCTGGTCACCTCAACCTACACCTCAGCCCCTCCCTTCCCTGTAGCAAGCAGAAACGAGATACAGAATAAGAAGGGCCCACAGCAGCTGACTTCTTTCTGTCTGCTCAGAGCAGCTGCTTCAGGCCTCCGGGATCTCTTGAGAGCAGTGCTGCAAGAAACTGCTTTCTCATCAGGTGCAAGGCTCTCCAGGCTGTGCTGGGAATTGGCTAGAGCCTTAAAAGCTGGCGTCTACATTACCGAGAAGTGCCCGGGACTGGCAGGCCCCTGGGGCTGGTGAGAGCTCCTAGTCTCACATTTTGTGTATCCAAATCCTACTCCTACTCCAGAGACCGACTCCCATTCCCAGTGCTTCCACTTAGTCTTCCTTAAGTACTTCCTTCCCAGAAATCTTAGAAAATGCACATTCCACATCACGGGATGCCATGCAGCCTCGTTCTGGGTTCTGTTTTTCATTCAGGCATTTGGTGAGCACTTCCTAAGAGACTGGCGCTGAGGGGGTATTTGGTAGAAGGAAAAAGACCCAGTCCCTGAACTCAGAAGCAGTTAAGGAATAGCAGGAAAAACTGTGGATGTTCAGAACTCCACGTGCCTGTGCGAAGCAGAACCTCCCTAACTACAAGGTTCCAGTACACTCAGGATGGACAGCTGAGGTCCAGGAACTCAGAGTACACCAAGGGCTACCGCCCGGGCTACTCTGCTTGGAATGGAAAAGAGAACAAACCCAGGAGAATATATCTAAGGACACACTGAGGGGATCCTTCTATCCCCATGTTTCCAGTCTAGGTGCCTGAGAAAGTGGTGGTACCGTGAGAGCCGGAGGGGCACTGATTAGAGGGGCAGGCGACTCTATGAAGTATTCCCTCCTTCCTTTCTCCCTCCCTCTCTCCCTCCCTCCCTCCTTCCTTCCTTCCTTTTTTTTCCATAGAGACAGGGTCCATGTTTCCAGGCAGGTCTCAAATTCCTACTGAAGGAGCCCTCCCACCTCCGCCCCTCAAAGTGTTGGGATTACAGGTGTGAGCACTGCCCAGGCCTAGTCTCTTTATTTTGAGGCTTTGACAACTAAAGCTTGCTGGCCCTATAGGGCTCCCCCAGGGCTGCCCAGGTCCTAGAGATAGTGAAGGACTTGCCTACCAATGTGCCTTTCATAAGCAAACCAACCAATCCAGAACCCGAAGCCCACTACCTCCCCTGCCCTAATCCCCTAGAGCCAGGAGACAGACAATAGCAATAGCCCCAGGCCCCAGAGCCTGCTAAATGTATTCAAACCAGCCAGTCCTAAACTGCTCAACCTGCCTGGCCCATTCTCCCGGGGAAACCCTCTGCCTCCTAACTGACCCCAGAGCTTCCCTGGTGGCCCCCAGCCATGGTGGTGTGGCATGCCCGTCTTCTTGGGATCTGTGCGTAACAAGCTGTCTTAATGACAGCCATCTCCAGATCTGGTGGCCTCCCCTCATCTCAATAATCATGAAACCTACCTTTTAAAACAGTGCTGGATTCAGCCTGGGACACGCTGAGTTTTTCTAGTGGTTTCAGGTGTGTCAGGGAGGCCATAAGGTACAATGTAAAGAGCCAAGGAATGGGAGTCCCGAGTTCAAGTCCTAACTCTACTTCCAACTTCACACAAGCTACTTAACTTCTCAGGGCCTCCTGCAATTTCCTAGGTGTACAGTAGGAGTGGCGCACATGTAAGTCGCATGTGAATTCAAGGAGATAATATACCAAAAGTGCTTTCTCAACTAGCTGGTTGAGGTGTTAGTGTAATTCCCTCTCCTGGTGCACCGTGTCATCCTTAGCTCCAGGAACCACCTCATAAACCTGTCGGCCCCTCACCCTGTGGTTAGCACACAGTCAACGATACAGAAAGCACCCTGAATGGCAGTGCCTCAGATGTAAACAGTACCAGTGTTTCACTCCTTCCTCCCCCTCTTTGTGTCCTCAGCCTTACCTCCCGGGTGGAGCTCTCCACAAATGGCCCCCCAAACATGGCAGCCATCCAGTCACAGCTGGAAATCAGTAGGGGCTTGTGGGCACTGATGGTGCCATCATCCAGGATGAAGGTCACATCTGTCCAGAAGAAGCATCACAGGAGGGCCGGTGAAAGAAGGTGGGATAATGAGCCCCCAGGGGAGCCATGGAGTCTTCTCCTGAACCCAGAAGATTCGGGACACAGAACAACCCCGCTCCCAGCCGGGGAAGACCAGGCTTTGAAAGCACGGCAGCCGCAGCTCCAGGATACCAGGAGCTGAGACCGACAGGCAATACTAATGGGACCAACGCAGAACCCCCTTGCCTTCCAAGCACGTTCCATACCTGAGAAGGTGCCTTTTGCCAAGCACTCCTTAACCCGGTTGGTCCGGCGGACATGGAAGGCCTTGGTGATCTCCTGGTTCATGAAGGCCTCATTGTTGAGAATATTGGCCACCATCATGCGCAGATCAAAGACCTCGAGCAGCTCGGCGATGTGGGCGATATGCATGAGGTCACGCTCGTTCTCGTCCAGCTCCCCCGTGTACAGGTACTTGAGGACGGCCCGGAAGGGCCCCGGCTGGATGGAGTTGTCCATCTTCACCACCACCATCAGCCGGGATTTGTAGGTAAGAGGATCTTCTGCCATCTCTTCCTGGATGCTCACAAAAGCTCGGCTCCAGGAAGAGAGCACACGACCCCTGCCCGGCAGGTACCCTGTCCCGTTGCCCCGTAAGATCCCGTCGCTGGTGGAGGCACGGAGGCCGGCGGGACCGGAGCCCCCGGCCTCGTCCACACTTTCACACACGTCAAAGCTGGCTGCCCGGAGCAGAAAGTCTCGCCCGTGGTGATGGTGGTGGTGGTGGTGGTGTTGATCAGGGTGGCCCTGGTGGTCATCTGGGTGGGCACCCCCTGGCCCCGAGGGGCCCCCCAGCTCCCCCTCACTCAGGTCCATGAGGAACAGGTCATAGAACTTGGAGGAAGAGGTGGAGAGGTAGATCTTGTGGGCAAAGATGCGCACCCGCTCCTGCAGCACCAGGATGACGTCCGCGCAGAGCGGGTCCTCCAGGAGGTGGGCGGGGCACTCCTCGCTGCTGGAGGGTGGGTCGGGCACCACGATGATGGGGGGCGGCGGCTTGGGGGGCAGGAAGGGTGCCTGCAGCAGAGGCCGCTGCACATTACGGAGGTGGGACTTCCAGAATTGCAGGTGGCGGCGGGAGATGAGGGCAGCTCGGATGGCGTTGTCAAAGACGTCCTTGATGCCGAACTGGGCCACCACGCTGGTCTCGTAGTATGGGATGCCCAGCTCCTTGGCCACCTCCCGACCCTTCTCTGGGGGCAGGATTTCATTGGGCTTGATGGGCCTGGTAGGTTCAGGAAGGGAAACCAAGCTGGCGTTGGGGGTGGAGGGAGGCCGCCTGTTCTTCTGCAGGCTGGAGGGACCCCACTCAGGATCTGGCTGCCGGTCCCCACCCACTCCTGCCCTGCTCTGTCTGGCCAAATCCCATCAAGCTCCTTCAAAGTCCACCCAAACCCTTCTTCTTCCAGGAAGCTTTCCCTAACTATGCCGGGCCCCAGTGAGCTCTCCAGTGCAAAGCTGTGACAGCGCTGCCTCTTTGGCAATTAGCAGGCAATGCTTCCTATGGGTATTTAACATGCTCACATAGTTACTTTATCTCCCAGCAAAATTATAAGACTTTTTCATGCAAATATCACCTCTTCCTCTCTGTCTTTCCTCATGGTTCTTTATATAGCACTGCCCACACCAGAGGTGTGCAACAGGTATACGAAATGAATGAATGAATGAATGAATGAGCGTGCTTGTTGACTCCCGATGCAAGCTTGCTCCAAATGGAGGGAGAGATGTGAGGCTCAGTGAAACTCCCCCATGGCTGAGCAGGGAGCCATGGTGAGGCACCCTCCTGGTTTGTCTCCTTGGTACCAGCACCCCCTACCTTGCCAAGGGTCGCCTGGCCCTGTTGACAGCCTCCAGGTCAGCGTAGCGCAGGTCCAACTGGCAGCCCACCAAGATGACAGGTGCTCGGGGGCAGAAGTGCTTGATTTCTGGGTACCACATGGTCTTGACATGGTGGAGGGAATTGGGGTTGGCAATGGAGAAGCACAGAACCACCACATCGGATCTGCGGGCGGGGTGGGGGGAGAGTAAGGTGACAGGCAGAGAAGCAAACTGTAGCTTACCTGGTCCAGGAACGTCAGCTCCACCCCAGCCTGTAGAGTCCCACCCCTGGCTTAGGTATCTGCTCACGTGTTCTTACACAAAACGTGAAATAACTACCTCCAATTTATGTGGCATTTTAGAGCGTAAGACTTGTTTTGGACCCACAGCAATCTTGTGAGTTGGAAGGCAGTTTTTACCACTTCACAGTTGAGAAACATCATCTCAGAGCTACTAGGCACAGAGCTGGAACTCAATCCAGGCTTCCTGATTCCTGGCCCAGGTTCCCTTTGCTGCCCCAGGCTGCCCCAGCCCAAGGAGGCTCTGCCAGAGCTGTTTTCTCCACTCCTTCCTCCCAGCTGAAATTTCAGAGGTGCTCAGTTCCTGGGAAAAGCAGGAAAAACCCACCCTGTTGGTTCTCTGTAGGCAGCCAGAGGCCTTCCCTACCTCCCATAAGCAAAGCGACGGTCTTTGTGGTGGTCTCCAAAGGTGTCCCAGAGGCGCAGGGAGACGCTGACATCATCTACCACATCTCGGGAGCGTTCCAGCACCTGGGGACAGGGGAGGAAGAGTGGGACTCGAAGACAGCAGTTTTGGGGCCCTCTGTGTGTCAGCTCAGGATGGGCGCCAGCTGACCCCTGGGGGTCCCAGACAGCACCAGGGATGGAGGGACAGGGCTAGCATCACCCACTGTGCACTTTGCACAATAATTTCATCCATGGGAAATCTCTGTAGAATCAATAACAAGGGTGGCCTCCAAGCCAATCAGGAGTGGAAGAGACCCTAAGGGACTACTATGGGTGTGGAAGGGGCCTCTTCGGGAGCTGACCCTTGTTCCCGGCTTTCCCTGCAAACTGCATGTTTGTGAGCCTCTGGCCTTTTGCTCTCAGCTGCCGGCTTCTTTGCTCCTCTCATCTCGTATCTCTCCCAGGCCCCAGCCCCTTAGTGTTCCCCATTACTTAGGGCTGTGATTACATACAGTGCATTACCCCAGACAAGGCTGGGGTCCCAGGCACCAGCTCAGTCCCTGAAAACACAACCAGCCAGAGATGCATCCCTGGGGTGGGCTTGGCTCAAACCTCTCTCCAGGGGCTTCTTCCTCTTCAGCTGCCCTCACCCCACTCCATCCCACCCCTAGAGGGCTCTTGTGAGCTCTGGAGACACCAAGTCCAGACCCATGGAGGGGACCCCCAGCCAGGCAGCCCTGCAGCCTTACCTCCTGGCACACACGATATTGGTCGATGGCCCACACTGTGGGCACGTGCGTGGCCAGCAGCTGGTACTGGGTGAGGGTGGCATTGCAAGCGCGGGCACAGATGAGCCTGGTCTTGCCCACGGCGTTGTCCCCCACCACAACGCACTTGATGGTCTCTACGTTTGGCCTTTCATAATCCATGTCAGAATCCATTAAACGGGACCTGAAGGAGAGGAAGGAGGCAGTCAGGATGGCGTGGCATGCCAGCTCGCCATGGGCCAGGGCCAGCACCTGCAGCGTTCAGCCAGGCTGCCCCCGCTGCAAGCCCCACAGCTGAGAGAAGGAAGAAGGAATGGGCAACGTTCAGGGCAAGAGCTCCGTGGGGACCCAAAGGGCCAGAAGCCCATTCAGGCAGAGAGGAGCAGTGCCACCAGATGGGCCACTTGTCTTCCTGCTGCCTCCATCCTCCAGCTGTGCGTCTGGATGGAGGAGACCTGCGCAAGATCCCCAGCGGAGCCCGCCCAGGCCCTGCCCCGTCCCTTCTGCTCTCCAGAGAGGGCAGCTCGCTCATCATCTGCTCTCCTCCTCCTTTCCCGGCAGGGCAGTGGCAGCGGAACAACAAACAGCTAAGAGAAGCAGAGTGGCCAGGTCCCCACCCTTTCACAGCATGCCTGAGGGCAGGGCACTTTAAAATTTAATGGGCTTGTCAGAGCTGGGCAGCAGCTCTCCTGGCCTCCACCCTTTCCCTCACCCTCTCTGGTGGTGTATTTCCAAGCCCTAGCCTGCCTAAGTGCATCCTTCAACCCCAGCTCCCTTTATAGAGATGCAAGAATTTTCCCTCCCAACCGCCCAGAGATAGGGCCGTTTCTGGACACACCTGACCAGCCCAGGGGCCTCCCCTCCTCTACCTGGGTCTGTCCTGTTGCCTGTGTATCAAGCTCAGCCACGGGTATAGCTTTGAGATGGGGGTGAGGGGAACCACAGGCCTGTGATGATACAGTCAGTGGCCAGTGGGCCTCTCCTTCCCCTACATGGGGCTATCCTCCCAGCACCCTGTCCTCAGCCTCAGAGCGAGTGAGAGCCACCTCCACCCTCTTCTGCCCTTCCCATTCCTGGGGAGGACAATTCTTGGGCTGAAGATCTCAGGCAGCTGGCACTCCTGGGTGATGATCACTGAGCTGGCTACATGGGTGATGGGGTCGCCAGGAATCAAAGGATCAGAAACTTGAGCCTGAACTTCCGGGCAAATGCTTGTCTCAGTTGCCTTCAATGCTGAGCAGAGAGGAAGTGGCTTGTCCACCCACAGAGAGGGATGGCTTGAATAAACAAACAGAAGGCCCTTCTGTAGTCAAATGTCATGTTGGTGTTTAAAAAGCTGTCGCCAGGAGGCCCTAGGTTCAGCATCCACCCTCCTGGGCTAAGGGAGCAGGGGCAGGCCCGGTGTTATTAGGAAGCTTGGTTTCTCCAGCATCATCCGCCCGTCCCACTCACATTCCCTGTGTGCATGAAAGTCGTCTGGGGGGCTTTAGCAGCCCACAGTCATCCCTCCTAGGCCAGGGAAGGCTGAGCTCTGAGTCCTGGAGGCTGCCCAGGCACCCTGGCTGCTAAGCCATCCAGTCCAGAGCCAGGCCACCAGCAGCAACAGACAGGTTCCACTCCTGCTGGGCTGTAACTGGATGCCATCATGCAGGGATGCAGACCGAAATATCCAAGTAACGATAGCAACTGCGATTCTCGCAAGTGGATGCATCTCAGCAAACTAAGCAAAAAGTGCAGCAAGGACTTCTCAATGAGACAGCCTCCTGCTCCTTCTTGGAATGTTACAGGATCTGGATCCTTCAACGAGAGGTCTCCATGCAGTGCCCTTGGGGTCTCCAGGGCAACTGCATCATCCCTTCCCTTTCCTCACCCTCCTCCAGCAGAGAACTATTTTTTGTTTTTGTTTTGAGGTGGAGTTTTGCTCTTGTCGCCCAGGCTGGAGTGCAGTGGTGCGATCTCGACTCAGTGAAGCCTCCACCTCCCGGGTTCAAGTGATTCTCCTGCCTCAGCCTCCCAACTAACTGGGATTACAGGTGTGTGCCACTATGCCGGCTAATTTTGTATTTTTGGTAGAGATGGGGTTTCACCATGTTGGCCAGGCTGCTCTCGAACTCCCGACCTCAAATGATACACTCGTCTTGGCCTCCCAAAGTGCCGGGATTACAGGTGTGAGCCACCACGCCTGGCCCAGAGAACTGTTATTCTAACCACAGGCTTCCTCCTCCCAGTTCTCTCTCCTGAGCTGAAGACCCAGAACCCCACTTTGACAGTTCCTGGTCTCAAGCTGAGGGATGTGCTAGTGCCAGGAGGTGGCATCTGGGCTGTGGTTTCTGTTTTGTCAAGTGGATACCAAAACAGATAGAATCCCAAATACAAAATATGTGCAGCTGGAGGATAAAGATTAACACCCAACCGCTAAAAGAACTTCTTCCTCAAGTTGCAGTTCCAGCAGCACATAGGCCCGTAGACAGAAGCAAGGGGAATGAGGGGCATAATGGAGGGGGTGCCCGTTCTCAAATCCAGGGGCACCTTGACAGTGAGAATAATGCCAGGACACTGGCAGAGCAGTGCTGGGCCAAGTTCAGCTACTTTGAGGTGAAAACACTGGTGCCCACCTTGTGCTGTGTCACCTCTAGGGCTAAGCAGGGATCAGCCAACCAACAAGTAGGAACGTGACAAACACCGTGCTGTGAGTTTAGACACCAGACCTGCTGGGTTGCCTCCCAAGCTTCGCGACCCCTTCCATCCACTCCCCAGCCCCCTCAGCCGTCCCCGGCTTGTTCTTCAGTGCTTCTCTGTTTGTATCATCTCACCCTTTCTACCCTGTCCCAACCGCCTGACTGGCAAACTATACTGTCCTGTCTAGGAAGGGGCAAGCCACTTCACTTTTGTGGGCATCAGTCTCCCCCTCTGGGAAATGGGTGTGAAAGCACTGGCAGACAGTCTCCTAAACCTTGGTTAATTTGTGCCAAGAGAGCCTGGGCTGATTTGTCTTCTTATGTAATGTGGTATTATATAATGCTAGATTGCATATCTATATGTGTAATTATATCTCTCTTTAAGATACAGACTGGCCCAATTCAGCCAGCAGAACTTAGTCTAATCAGGCCTGTCCTAAGTGAGGAGCCTGTCCTGGAGAGAGCGTGCCAACAGTAATACAGTTTTTGCCCCAGGATGTTGCTGATGTTGTATCGTTGCTGATACATGGTGATACAGCCCACTCGGTGAGCTTCTCAACTGCTCCTCTCCCTCTGGTACCCTCCCCTTCCATGACTCCGGACTCCGGACTCCCTCACAATTGCCTCATGCCCACTCAATCAACCTCCATAACTATGACCTACTCACCACCCAGCCCTGGGCATCACAACCGCAAATTCACTCCTCTCCCATGATAATCACAGTCACTGGTATGTGTTCCCTCCATCCCTGTCCCATGATCCCTGTGCCCCTCTCCAAAAACAGCCTCCTGCCCACTGCTCTCCCAGCTCTTTTACTTGGTACAAGCCAAAACCCAAGGTGTGCTGAAATTAGCTACAAACCTCGTGCACTCCCATTCCCACCCCCACACCCCTACACACACTCTGCAGAGCTCAGAAAGGGCCCCTTTCCCTCCCACAGCTGATAGGAGGCTTGTTCATCTGTGGCTGCCCTAGTCTGGTTGTCAAGGAAACGAAAGAATTTCCCTGGGAGCCTGGCTTGTCTCCTAGCAACCAATATCCCACATCATTTTACAAAACGGTAAAGGGAGGAAAATCCTGAAAATGAAGGTAAAAATCAAGGGAGATGGATAGGAAGGGAGAAATGGAAGGAGAAGAACAAAGAGAGAGTGGACTCCGAATTCCGGGAGCCTCCCACGGGGGTCGCTGGCACTGCAAGGAGCCCCGCGCAGATCCAACAGAAAGCAAGGCCCAAAGGGACCCTGAATGGTCATATTAACAAAGGAATGCAAGCCTAAACACAGGATAAACCCCCTCAAACCTGAAATGCGGACACATCACCAAACACCGCCAAGGATCTCCCCAGTAGTTTCACTGAACTCAGTTTCACAGACTGCAACGGAGTTGAGTTCAAAGAACCAGCTCCAGAACCGCCTGCCACACACCCCAATTCCACTGTTGTTTGGATTTTGTTTTCTTAGCAGAATCACTTCCACCCCTCTGGACCGTTTTTTTTTTTTTTTTCCTGACACGCTGTTCTGCACACACACACAAAAGAAAAATTTAAAAAAAAATTTAAACACAGAGAAGGGGGAGGGGCACGACACGCCGAGGCAATCAAATCATCTTCCGCTCCCTAGAAACACCCGGAAAGGGTTAGTCTCCAGACCCTCTGAACCCAGCAGCGGGAGCCAGAGCGCAGGGAGGAGCGGGGCCCAGGGGACGTCGCGAGAGGCGCAGCAGGGCCGGGAGGGTGGCGCGGCGCGTCTGCGGGGTTGCTGGCCACCCTGCCATAACCGCAAGCGGCCATCTACTTACACCACTACATGTGACGGGGTGGCTTCTAGCGTGAGGAACACATCTCTTCCTGCTGAGCACGCTCATTTTAGTGAAATGTGAGGGGTCCCTCCGCGCCTGCAAGTTGGGGCGACGCCGGCGCCGCCGCGCTGCTGCTGGGCTCCAGCCTCTGGGCCGGCTCGCGGCCGCTCAGAAACTCCGGCAGAGCAGCCCAGGCCGGACGTGGGCCCGGGAGCCGCCGCACGCGCTGCACTGCAGCCGCTGCCCCTTCCGGATCAGCATCACCCCACGCCCCGGGCGCCCAATGTCACCGCGGCACGCGGAGCCGAGCTGCGGAGGCTGCGGGCGGCGCGCAGGGGCGCCGGGAGAGGGGCGAGGCCGCCGCCGCTACGCGCCCGGGCCCGCGGCGAAGGCGCTGCCGCGAAGACGCCTGGCGCTGCAGTCCCGGGGACCGCTCGCGACCTCCTTTTTTCATTCACAAAAAAAGGAAAGAGGAAAAAAAAAAAAGAAAAAACGGGAGGGTAAAAAAAGGGGAAGGAAAAAAAAAATCGCACCCGAGAGGACGGCCGTGACGGGCCCCGCCCACCGCCGCGCGCGGTTGGTGGAAAGCGTTCGGGGGGCCGGAGGCGAGGGGGTGGGTTGGGCGGGGAAAGAAGGGGATTGGACGCCCCGGAGACCCCGCCCCGCCGCTCAGGCCCGCCGCCCGCGCTCTTCCGCCCCTCCCGCAGGGACTCCGCGGGGAGGGTCTCGGCTCGCGGGTCCAGTGGCTCCCGTCCCTCCACCTGGCGAGGCTCAAAGCCTCCCTGGACGCCCACGGAGTTTTCCCCTTTCCTCCGGGAGGCGGGCAGGAACCTCTGAGAGGCATCCTAGTGCGCCCTGGAAGGGATGCGAGTTGGAGGAGAACGCGTGGTTGTAAACCCAGGCCCCCACCACTTGTCCACGGGTAGGCGACGGCAGGGGCAGACGGGGTGTGGGTGGGCAGGAAGAATGGCGGTTCCATACAAGCCTTCTGCTGCCTTGGAAATTTTCGTGGCATTTGAGAGCCTTCCTCTCTCCATGGCCCTTAATGAATTGTGGGTGGGTACCTGTACCATCTTACCTGTCTCCCACTGAGGTCTTCAGCCGGTCCCCACCTCCATCCCACCCCCCTCCTGTTGTCTCCTGGAGTTCAGTAACAGCTTCTGACCTCAGAAAGAAACACCATGGAGACAGTAGCCTTGACAATCGTCCCTAAGTCTTCTTTGGGTTCTCTGCCTCAATTTACCCCTCTGTAAAAATAGAGAGATTCTAAGGTGTAACATCTATAACCTGAGTGGTCCTTAGACGAAACTTCCCATATTCAAGGCTGCTTTTATCAGGATGATTTGTTTTTTCTTTTTTAGACGGAGTCTCCCTCTGTTGCCCAAGCCGGAGTGTGCAGTGGCACTATCTCAGCTCACTACAACCTTTGCCTCCTGGGTTCAAGCCATTCTGCCTCAGCCTCCTGAGTAGCTGGGACTACAGGTGCGTGCCACCTTGCCTGACTAATTTTTGTATTTTTAGTAGAGACAGGGTAACCACCTTGGCCAGGCCGGTCTCGAACTCCTGACCTCAGGTGATCCATCCTCCTCGGCCTCTCAAAGTACTGGGGTTACAGGTGTCAGCCACTGTGCCTGGCTAGGATGATCTTGAGTGTTAGTGTTACAGCAGTCAGCCCAGTCTGGTTTGTTTCAGCTCTTTGTTACCTCTGGACAATTTTTAAAGCCCAGACTGGCATGCCGCCCACCTGAACCGCCTCCACCACTCCTCCATCTTGTGCTCTGAAAAATGCAAATCCACTCTAATATTAGTTTATGCAAAATATGATTAGGAAGAGAAATTTACTGCCAAAAGAAAGCTGAGTTAAAATGGAATTTTGTATGGTCTGAAGCATGCTTCTCATCTGTGAAAGCTATACTTGGAAGCTGTCCGTCAAGGTGTTTGTGATCAACCTACCTTACTACCTGGTGGATGTACAGGAAGTGCTCGGTTGGTGGAGGATGGGCCCCTACCTCTTTCTGAATCTACCCAGAGCTAGCCAAGAGGTTAACAATGACGGACGGTGCTACTTCTCATTTCTGGTTAGAATTCACCCTCCATAAACCAGAAAGTACTCATTGGAATACATATTTAGGAGAGAAACTAAACCATGCTCGCATATGTTCTTCCCCACATGTTTGGCATTGAAGAGCCTTACCCCATCTTCTGTGTGCCAAAGAGCCTCTGCACCAGAGAAAAACGTAATAAGAGCTCTCTGCATGGTGCCCACGGCAGGCCAGGGTCTCTCCCACGAACACCCTGTTCACTCCACCCACCTCTAGAGACCGGCTGAGTGCCAGATGTTGGTTTCATCACCTTTCACCTGTCCTGGCAGTAGGCATGGCCCCAGTGCAGCAAGGAGTAGGAAGACAGAACTCCCCTCCACCCTAAGTCATGAAGCAGGAGAGGGTGGCTACTCGGTGGCCTGTAAGCTGGAGCCAATGCCCTCTTTGCCTTTAGAGACAAAGCTAGCTCAGCCTGGAAACCTCAACGAGGCTGGGCTGTGCAAATTCCAAGGTATAGGGTTCATTGGTAGGGGAAGATCTTGAACAAAGATGTGGGTGTCAAATGAAATTGCACCCCCACAGCCCCTGCCATGCTCACACTCAGTGAACTGTTTCAGGCAGAGGTAGGAGCTTTGCTGGGGAGGTGGCCTCAATTCCCAGCCCTGCTTTTTGTACGCGATTCCCTCTTTCAGGTTTTCTTCAAAGGCCTTCCCCATCATTTTGTCTCTCAGGCTGTCGTGGTTGACGCCCCCTCAGTCCTCTCTTATCATCGGATTTCCTCCAAGTCCCCACCTCCTCCATCCAGTGCCCCTCAGCTCATACTCTACAGCCCCTTGTCACTGTTGAGCCGCCCCATCCATGTCCCACCTAGGCTGTCTGGGAACTTCCGCAGACCCCTCCATCAGGCCAGCCTGCAGGGAGCTCCAGTGGTTTGATATTCCCAGCTCAGATGGCAGCATTTCCCCCGCTGTACAAGGGAGCAGACCACCAGCAAGCTCCAGTCCTTGGTCTGTGCCCTAGTTGTGGCTAAAACCAGGCCTTCTTCCCAGCCAGCCCTGGTCAGGACTGCCCCGGGGCCTCCACTCCTGCTACTCAAGACAGCCTCCAGCCCCTGGCACCCCAGCCAAGGATCTGCCACATACCTAAATCTTTGCCCAGCCCTCTAATGCCAGATCCTAGAAAACAGGGCCATTCCCTGAGGCCAGGCTTCCCCACCAGCAAGCAAGGAGCTATTGGGGTCCTCTCCTGCCCATCCCTGTCCCCAGCTGTGAGCACCCGGCAGACAGCAGCATCCCAAAGCACAGGAAGCCACCCATTCCCCTCACTGCACCCTCCTACCCCAGGTCCTGAGGAGTCCATTTTCCTTGATTCGGGTGACTTCTCAAGGCAGGCCTGGTGGGGAGAGAAAAGCTCCTGGCCTCTTTCTTTCTCTGCCTCCTCCATTCTGGTATATACACAGACACACATAAAGACACAGACACCCCCCCCACCCCAGCCCTCTCTGCCCGTTTGCTGCACTTTGGAAACACTGGTGTGATTCCAAGGAGCAGTTCAGCCTGAATGCTGACTTCCCCCATCGCTGGCTTGTGGACCCTCCATGCCAGCTTTCACTGTTGGACCTGGCAATGTCCTGCCACATGCCTAGCCACGTGGCTGCAGCCCGAGGGCTTCCTGGCAGCATGGAGGCAGGTTCCATTCTACAATATCCTGCCCCTGCCTAACCCCAGCATCTCTTCCCTCACCAAAGCCCTCTTGTGACCCCCCCGCACAGTGACATAAACCCCTGGAATCTGTCCCCAAAAGGCACCCCCTCCATTCCTCCCCACACCACCTTCCTCCAGGCCGTCACGCAGCTGCTGCTTTCCTGAAGCCAGGCAGATGCCTGTCTGTGAACGGGAGATTTATCTGGGGAAGGAGAAACCTCCGTCCCGACTCTTAGTAAAGCGTACATGCAGCAGGCTCCCCGGCCAGCCCCACCAGTGTTGCTCTTTCCGTGGCTCTGAAGGCCCCTCCCCAGTGCCAGCCCAGCCTACACAGACCCCCGACTCGGCCCCTCCTCTAACCCTCTAACCTGAACCTTCCCTTTGCTTCCCAGGCAGCTTTACCCTTCAACACTTTGCAGGCTACTGACCGCACTTTCATGGAACCCCTCTCCTGGAACGCTGGAGCCTCTGCAGAGCCCACCCCGTGGGCCTTGTGACATGGCCCCGCCTCCCACCCCCAGCCTTGTGCAGGCTGGGGCACGTGGTGTCCCTACCCTGCAGTTGGGGCAAAGTTCAGAACCAGCCTGAGCAAAAGTAGAGGCATTTCAAGACGCAGAGCCCCCGCAGTGTGAAGGAGCTGGAGCTGGAAAGCCTAGAGCCGCTCAGCCTCCCTGTCCAGGGCTTAAGGGATACCACCGGGTCCCCACAAGGAGACAGGAAGCTCCTGGGACTTTGCACAAGCCGTTCCCTCAGCCTGAACATTTTTTTTTTTTCGAAATGGAGTCTCACTCTGTAGCCCAGGCTGAAGTGCAGTGGCACAATATCAGCTCACTGTGACCTCCGCCTCCTGGGTTCAAGTGATTCTTCTGCCTCAGCCTCCCAAATAGCTGAGACTACGAGTGTGTGCCACCATGCCTGGCTAACTTTTATATTTTTAGTAGAGACATAGTTTCACCATATTGGCCAGGATGGTCTCAAACTCCTAACCTCTGGTGATCCGCCTGCTGTGGCCTCTCAAAGTGCATGAGCCACCAGGACCAGCCTACTCTTTCTATTTCTACTCCTTTCACCAGATAAATTTATACTCATCATTCAAGTGTCAGCCTAGATATCACTTCCTCCAGGAAGCCTTCCATGAATACTTTCTTACGCCTCACAAAGTATACGTTTCCTATTGTGCTCCCCTGATAATACCAATCATACCACTCTATCGTTGGGTTTTTCTCTGTCCTTGACCATACTGAGAATTCTCTGGGATTGGCAGGGGAGAGCTTTCCTAAGAGCCAGCATGGAGGTGTCCCTTTCCCCAGTTAAGGCGCCTGCTCACAGCCCAGGAAGCAGCATGCTGATGCTGGTTTAGGCCAGGTGGGTGGCTCATGCCTGTAATCCCAGCACTTTGGGAGGCCGAGGTGGGAGAATAGTTTGAGCCCAGGAGTTGGAGACCAGTCTGGGCAATGTAATGAGACCCTGTCTCTATTTAAAAAAAAATTTTTTTTAAATTTTTTAAAAAAGATAATGCTTATTCAAAAGATATTTTTGACTTGGCACTGTGACTCACACCTGTAATCCCAGCTCTTTGGGAGGCAAAGGCGGGTGAATCACTTGAGGTCAGAAATTCATGACCATCCTGGCCAGCAAAGTGAAGTCCCCTCTCTACTAAAAATACAAAAATTAGCTGAGCGTGATGGCGTGTGCCTATAATCCCAGTTACTCTGGAGGCTGAAGCGGGAGACTAGCTTGAACCTGGGAGGTGGAGGTTGTTATAAGCTGAGTTTGCACCACTGCACACCAGTGCAATGGCTGAAGAGTGAGACTCTGTCTCAACAACAACAAAAAGAGTATTTTTTATGCCAGTCTAGTGCCTGCAGTCTAGTGCTTCCACAGACATTTGGGAGATGCTCAATAAAAGCTCACGGGTGAATGAATGGGAAGAGAGAGGACGGCACACAGTAGCTACTCACATGCTTTCCGAAGGGGTGTTCCGGGGGCTGTCCTGCCCTTTCCTCCAGGCTTGCATTGCTCTGTGTTGGCTCCAGGCTTCTGGTTGGGAGGGACAGGAGTGGATGGGGCGGTGCAGGAAAGACAGAGGGAAGAAAGGGAATGAGCACATTGCAAATTACTCCAAGGTCATTCAACTCTGATGGAGGGCTCTACTCAAGACAAGAGAGTGGCCCCTGCTTTCTGGGCCCAGCCATGGGTGAGACCCCAGCCGGGGGGGCTAAGACAGAGGCCACCCCAGGGAGTCAAGGGACTAGATGAGAGGCTGAAACGGGGGTCCTGGTGCATCACGTGTCGCAGGTGTTTGTGTATTCTGAGCTGGTCTGGCGATTTGGAAAGGAGCGGTCAGTCGTGCGTCAGTGCCTGGGTTCTGCCTGCACGAAACTGCATGACACCGGATCATTTCCTGCCCTCTCTGGGCCTCACTTTCTCATGGACAAGGGCCAGGTTAGGTGACCTCCAAGACTCATTCTGACCCTGACATCCTCTATGCGTGCCTGGCATGGAAGGTCTGTATTTTCTTGCTCATTCTTTTCATTGAAACATCTCCTGACCCAAATTAGGACTCAGAAAAAGATCAGCTGATGGCCACCATGGCTGAGAATGGAAGGAGGGAGGTATTTTTTGGAAAGAGAGTAAGGTTTAAACACATGGTAAGAGACAGAAAGAGAATCTAATTCTGCAATCGTCCCCACCTTCAGTTTCTTTAAATGGTCAGTCACAGTCTTGGGACCAGTTTAGCCAAAGAAAAGTCTAGAATTTCAGGAGAGATTGGGAGTGATCAAGGAAGAGATGAGAAAGGCCAGGCAGGCAGCTCTGGAGGCTGTTGGCCCTGTGCGGTTCAGGGAGATGGAGGGGCACTTCTGTGACAACCCCCTCGGGGACTGGGAAGCCAGAGAAGCCACAAAAAGAGGCAGCTTCCAGGAGGGAATGGAAACCAAGGCATAGGAGCAGCCACTGAACTCGGTGCCAGCCTTGGAAGTGGCTGTGTGACTTTGGGCAAGAACCTTAATCTCTCTGGTCTCCCATTGGGGAGATAACATTGTCTCTTACCTGAAGACAGGGATGGCTACGTGACCTTCTTCCTGTCCCTTCCAGCACTGAGACCCTTCTAACTTCTTCTCCACTTCTGCCTGCTCCCCCTCACAGACCTAAGCCCCATGCCCTGGGTAAAGGGGGAGCCACCTCGCATTTGTGCCCCTGCCGTCTCGGCCTTGTGTGGAGGACAGACAGCATGGAGGGCAAGAGTCTAATCCCCCAAGGTCAAAAAATCCCATGTAGAACCAGAGGCAGTAGTGCATGCCTGTAGTCTCAGCTACTCTGGAGGCTGAGGCGGGAGGATCACGTGAGCCCAGGAGTTCAAGGCTGCAGTGCACTATGTTCGTACCACTGCACTGCAGCTTGGGTAGCAGAGCAAGAACCCATTTCCCCCTCAAAAAAGAAAGAAAGAAATCCCATGCCCACCTTAGCTCTAGTGCCCTGTAGGTCTCCCAGAAAAATGAAGGCCGGGACAGGGAGATCTTACAGTGGAGTCCTCCCGGCTGGCCAGCCTCTCATCCTACATGCACCCGCCAGAGGTGCTCCAAGCAGGACCTGAAGAATCTGCTTCCAGTCCGATCTGGCCAGGCTACGCCTAGTCCCCGCTGACAGAGGTGTTGGCACGCAGATGCCTGTGCCGATTCCCCCAGTCCTCCCTACGCTGGCCCTGCCTCCCAGGAAGTCACGGCTGGCCAAGGCCTGCACGAAGCATTTACTGCATCTCTGAAGCATCTCCCCCTTCAGTAAAGAAATTGGGGCATTGGTTTGTGTCTTTTTTTTTGAGACGGAGTCTTGCTGTGTCACCAGGCTGGAGTGCAGTGGCACGATCTCGGCTCACTGCAACCTCCATCTCCTGGGTTCAAGTGATTCCCCTGCCTCAGCCTCCTGAGTAGCTGGGACTACAGGCACCTGCCACCATGCCTGGCTAATCGTTTGTATTTTAGTGGAGACGTGGTTTCACCATGGTCAGGATGGTCTCGATCTCCTGACCTAGTGATTCTCCCGCCTTGGCCTCCCAAAGTGCTGGGATTACAGGCGTGAGCCACTACGCCCGGCCTGGTTTGTGTCTTTCAAGGGTTCCAAGTACCATCCTAATGCCATGAAACAACGCATACAAAGGAAATGCATGGTATATATCAATGATCGCTGATCCACTCCGAGTCCCCTGGGATGGTGATATCTCAGGACGGGGCCTGGAAGCTACCTTCAGGCAGGCCTGCATGAAAGAAGCTAGATCCCGTGACTTCCACCTTGCTTTCTGGGCAGAGAAGGTATAAGAGGAAGACAAAAATGCAGACTGTAGCTGGGGCTTCCAGGTCTAAGAATCCTTTGCCTTGACCAAGCTGCAGACCTCCTGAGAGAGGGCAGGCCCCGTTCCTTAAGCCCTGCGGAGCTGGGAGCGAGAAGCTTTGAGGAGGCTGGTCACCCCAAAATAAACTTGTTTTTTTTCACAACTTTTTCATGAGGCATTAGCATCTCTTGCAGCATGGGCAAAAAATAGCCTGAACTGTTAACAAATAAAGATTATAAAAAGCCCCAACTGTTCCCCGCGGGTTTCCATGTGGCTGCAGTATTTAAAGGGGGCAGAGGGAGTGTGTGTCCAAGAGCCCCCCGTCTCTCCTCCTCTGATCCACCTCTCTCCCTCCATAGTTGGTTCTGCTCACAGGGATAACAGCTGATGTCAGGGATGAGAAAGTTATTTGTTGACCTTCATAAGGGGTCCACTGCGCATGCGTATTCTTGATTACTGCTTCCAGATAAAGGAGTGCGTGGAACAGAACAGGCTCCTTCAAAACATGATCATATTGCAATGAGGCTGGTTTCAATGAAGCTGTCTGACTGGGGGTGCAGAATCTGTGTAGTAAACACTTGGAGTTCTTATCAAGGTCAGCTAAACTTGAATTTTGACCCTTCCCTTGGGCATTGCTGGTCGTCAGTAACTAGGAATGAGTTTAGGGTTGTAGTTGCTTTAGATCCAGCTTAAAGGATTACCAGGGGCCACCTGGGAGGGGCTGTGGTTCTCGTCTGTGTTCTGCGTTACTCTTGCAGAGTTCCAGGCTGGACCCTGACAAGCTATCCCCCGTACCCTCTGCCTTCTGGGTACATGGACCCCCAAATGACAACACAAGCCAGAGAATGGTGTCAAAACCCTTGTGTGGAGTCAGGAGCTGAGTTCCTGTCCCTATGGGGTCTTCAGGAAAACAGGTAGTTGGCCTGGATGGTACCTGAGGAGTCTCTGACCCTGACTTTTTATAGCTGGAGGAAGAGAACGCCCCCCAACTCTCCAGGGCTCTGTGTTCTCCACCAGACTCATTCATCCATGGAAGACCCCTCTAGCCCATCTTCGCAGGCCCCTCTTTTCCCCTCCTTCCCTTCTTACTTCTCTTCTTCCCTTTTGTTTATCTGTCCTAGCCTTTCCCCACTTCCTGAGCAGAGATTTCTATAAAAATAAATGCACACGGCTCTGGCTTGGACGGCTTACAAATGAGCAGGCTGGGACAACCAGATCCCCAGGGGCACTGGTGGGCAATATTCAAGCCTGGATGGGCCCTGGGTAGACAAGGACAGGAAATGCTGGCCAGAAGTTTCCTGAGGTGGTGACAGTGATGGGAAACCCACAGGGCAGCTGTGTTGCCTCTGGTCTTCTCTGGACCCACAGCCCTCTCTCAGGCTCCCATCTGCCCAAGTTAGCAGCCACCTCTGAGCTCACCCAGGGGAATCCCACCCCCTCCAGAGTGATAATTTTTAAGCTAAGAAGAGAGAAAGGGCTTGGGTGGAGAATACTGAGAGTCCATTCTGACTTGTCACAGCCAAAGCATTGCTCTGCAGGACATGGCTATTCCCCCCTGACACAGTCTCTGACCCCGCCACAAGGCATGAAGTGAGGTGCGGGGAGGCAGACAGGCAGGCCAGTCCACGGGCAGCTGGCGCAGGTTCCGGAGGGGAAGGAGCCAGTGCTCAGCTGGAAGCTTTCTGTGGAACAGGCTGGACCCCAGATGGTCTGGGATGCAGGGGCCTGGGCTCAGCGGCAGGGACCACAGGACACATGGTTCAGGGTCCCTCAAAGGCCACTAAACACACACCTCAACCTTCTGGTTGTCTGTGCCTCACCATATGCCTGGAAACATTGACTCTGAGTCACATAATCTTCCTCTCAACCCACCCGCTCTTCCTCCTCCTTCTGGGAGGCGCCAGCAGAGAGCCCCCTGGCAGCTGCTGGTGGAAGCCTGGCTGAAGGAGAGAGTCTCCCTGGAGGAGACTCATGCATTGCCACTTCTGCAAAGCTTCACAGCGGCCATCCCTTCACAGATGCAAAACTGACGCCCAGAGAGCCAGGGACTGGGGGGTATCAAGTCCAAGGTCCAGCCACGATGCCCTGCCTGCAGGCTGCCTCCCAGCTGCAGGCCTGCAAGGTGGTGGGGGGGTGGTTATGGAGGGCAAAGGTGGCATGGGGGCACCAGCAGCCCTTCCGGGACAGAATACACCTGACCTGTCTGTGCAGCATCCCAAGTCCCCTTGCTTAACTTGGCTTCCCCTTTTCTCTGAAAAATGCGAGGCTTGTTTGGTCTCCCTTCATTGACCCTTTCCTTTTTTCATTTATCAAATAATACATGGTAAACTCTTTTATTCATTTACCAAATACATGGTAAACTCTTTTTTCATTTGTCAAATACATGGTAAACTCTTGCTAGTGCCAGACCCTGTGCAAGAGATGGTGAGGATGATAAAATGATGATACACTACCACGTGGTCAAGGAGCTTGAGTTTAGTAATAATCATTCTAAATACCTTGTTGAGTGTTTATGACATGTCCGGGGCTGTGCTGCATGTACTACTTTATTTAAATTTCAAAACAATCCCATGAGATGGAGGAACTATTCTTATCCCCACTTGGCAGAGAAGAAAACCGAAGCTCTGAGAGGGGATGTGAATTGCCAGGGCTGGGAAGCCGGCAGGCAGGGTGAGGGTTCTCAGCAGGCAGCTGGATCAGAGCCTCTCGGGGAGACGGACACACAGCACAGCCCTGAGCCCTCGTGCCTAGCCCATTATTCTTCATTTATGTCAAAATCACCCTCTTTATCTTACAGTTGAGCAAACCAAGGTCTGTGCAAAGTCACGACTAGTTTGCAGTTGCGACAGACCCCAGTGCTATGGTTCTGATGCCAGATTTGACCTCTGGCCTTGCTTCCTCTTGTTGGCCTGAACCTCGGCAGTTTCCTTAGATGAGCCCTAGGTTCTGATATTCTGATGGCATGATGTTATCCTAAGACATGTTAGGGAGACAGAACAGAGAAGCAGGAGTGTCTCAGCCGAAACTAGCCCCAGGGCCCTGCCCTGTCCACAGCCACCCCAGGGGACAATCCTTGCCCGGTAGGGAGTTAAGAATGTGGAAATGTGGCTGGATGCATGGCTCACGCCTGTAATCCCAACACTTTAGGAGGCCGAGGCCAGTGGATTGCCTGAGGTCAGGAGTTCAAGACCAGCCTGGCCAACATGATGAAACCCTGTCTCTGCTAAAAACACAAAAATTACCCTGGCATGGTGGCACACACCTGTGATCCCAGCTACTTGGGAGGCTGAGGCAGAAGAATCATTTGAACTCGGGAGGCAGAGGCTGCAGTGAACCGGATCGCACCATCGCACTGTAATGGGCCTGACAGAGGGAGACTCCATCTCAATTAAAAAAAAAAAAAAGAAAAGAAAAGGGGAAGGAGCAGCAGGACAACAGAGATGCTGGAGAGCACTCTTCAGTTGGGGAAGGGCAGGAGATAGCGTACGCATGAGGGCAGAGGTGGCCCTTGTGCCACAAGCTGTTCCTGTGTGGCCAGTGGTCCCTCTGATGGAAAGGATTCAGTGGGTTATGGGGGTGGGGTGCAGTGTCATCTACTTGATTTCGGGGGCCTTCCCTTCTGTCCTGGCCAGGCTCACAAGGAGAAAGCGGCATCCAGGCCTGCTGCTGGCACATGGCGACTGCAGAGACTCCCCCTGGACACCCTCATGATGGGAGGAAGCCCTCCACCTCCTGGCCCAGCTCTGGCTGCCCCAGTTTGCTGCTGGGCCTTGGCGGGTAAGATGCCTGGTTGCTGATCGAACCCAGCCCTCGTACTGCCTTCACACGCCCCTCCTTTGGAAGAGATCTCATTCTGAGAACTGGAAACTGTGCAGTGCTGTGAGTGTCCAGGTGAAGATAGGTTAGAGAAGCCAGGACTTGGAGATTCCTCTTTTCCCTGGGCACAGAGCGAGGGCCCAAGGATTGTAGCCTTACCTGCCACCTTGCCTCTGGGGGTCCGCTGGCCTGTCACTATTCTCTGTCCTGAAGCAGTGTCCTGGGCCAGGTCTGTGGGAAGAAACAACACAAGAGTTTTAAGGGCTGGGATCCAAAGTCCAGC